TATAAAGAGTAGTGTAGTGTTATAGTGTAGGTGTTTGTGTTTGAATTTGTGAGGGGCCTCTTTCTTTTTTTTTCTTTTTTCTTTTTAAGTAATTGCTTTGATTGCCAAAAGGGAAGAAACATAGAACCCTTATTTGAAGGTTATTTCACTTGGCCTCATTATGTTGAGACAGAGATATATACATACATATATATATATGTGTATGTATATTGTGTTGACAGTGGAGACAGTAGACTCACGTAAACAACACAATGAGAAAAGGGCCCCTTACCTTGTCTTGAACACTGCATCCCACTCTTTCTTTCAAGCTCCCGGGACTTCTACGCCATATACATACATATGGTTTATTTTTATTTATTCTTAAAAATTAAATTTTTTAATACTCCCTCATTCTCCGTGACAAAGTATCCATTTTTCTATTTTAGTCCGTCCCATAACAAAGTATTTATTTTCTTTTTTAGTAATTGTACTATCTACCTAACATTACAAATACCCTTACAACTTACAATATATTATACAAATACAACATTTATATCACACATGCTAACAAGGTTATTTTAGTCATTTCTACTTTATTCATACTATATTCCAATATAATACTAATATTTCTAAAATTACGTGCAAAAAATAAATGAATAATTTTTTATGGAACTAAGGGAGTATTATTATTCTTTTTTTTTTTTTTTTTCATACATAATTATACCAAATATCTTTTTTTTTTTTTTTTTTTACAATTTTAAATATTTTTATAACTTCAAACATTTTATGTAAATTGTAACATAGTCTTAATATTGCATTTTTCATTGATTTTCTTAAAAACATTAAATGATGTGTTTAGTTGGTGTCTTTTAGATTTTAATCTGAAGTACTATTATTTAGATGTGATTTTTTAGTGATAATAAAGTGTTTTTTTTTTGGTAGAAAATTATGAATATAAAATAATAATAAAATAAAAATAGAAAAGTTATGAAGTAAATATTTAATTTATATTTAATATATTGTATAAAAAATTAATTTAATTTTAAATATTAAATTAAAAAAATATTTATATTACATTAAATAAAATATCAATTTCATTTGTCACTCTCTCATGCTTTTAATACAAATCAAACTTAGGTACATTCTGTTTGAATTTAATTTAAAATTGTTAATAATGAAAATTAAAATTAAAATAATATTTATATATTATTTAAATAATATTAAAATTTATAATATATTAAATAAAAAATTACATTAAATTTAATAGTTGTAAAAGAAAAATCTCTCTCTATATATATATTTTTTTATTAAGTAGTAGAGACCATATTCAAAGCTCTTTACAAATAAAATAAATCCATAAAATACTCTCTCGGCCCTACATAATATGAGACTACGTATATAAGAATTTAGGTAAAATATAATTAGTAAGTAATTAAAAATATGTTAATAAAAATAATTATAAATTTAAATTAAGATAATTAAATAGTTTAAATAAAATTTAAAAAATTTTAAAATTTAAAATATAAAATACGATTAAAATATATAATAAATTTTTTAAAAAATAAAATGATAAATTACGTATGACAGACGAAAATAAAATATAGGATAAATGATGTGGAACAAAAGAAATACTCCCTCCGTCAACTTATAAAGTTTACATTTACTTTTGGCGCGATGTTTAAGAAATAATAGTATTTTTAATACAGTGAGTAGTTAAAAGTAGTGTAATGACATTTTTGTCCTTACTTTTTTTTTTGTGTAAAAGTAACTATTTGATGTAAAATAAGGGTCTTTATGAAAAAAATAAGATATTTAATGAAATATTAACTTTGTAATTGGACGTTCCAAAATAGAAATACGTAAATATAGTAAATGAACGGTGGGAGCACTAAAATTAAAAAAAATAAAAAATAAAATAGAGCGCGTAGAGTCCTTAATCTGGCTCTGGAGTCCTGCCCCCTCTTTAATTACTACCTCTTCCCTCACTTGTCCACAGCCTTAAAACAATATATTTATAATTTTATATTTGCCTTTTTCTGCAATTTTCAGCAATAGGACAATATTACCCATCAAACCCTGTGAAAGTCGAAACAAACTGCCTTTTATTTAATTTAATTTACTTATTTTTACAAAGAGAAAGAAAAGAAACATATGGCACCAACATTTCTCTCAACTTTGAACCCACTTCTTCTTCTTCTTCTTCTTTCACCTCCCCTAACATCGATGATAAAAAACCAGTCTTTATTTAATCTCCGGTGTCCGAATTGGGACACTCCGATGATGACGCGGCGGAGCCGCCGCCGGCAGGTTCTAGAAGCTTCTAGACTTGCGGACATGGTGGCTGCTCTCTCTGGCAAAAATGGCTCCAAAAACTTGTTTTTTCAAGTGGGTTTTGTTTCAGTGGTGCCCTTCTTCTGTTGCATTGTCTTGTGACGGCGGCGGCGGCGGCGGCGGCGGTGGCGGCGGTGGTGGTGGCGGCGTGATATTGGCGGAGCGGCTCAATCTATTGATTTTGGTGACATAGATTATTTTATTTTTGCTTCTGATTTATTTTCTCTTGGCTGATTATTGTCTTCTTTGATATTTTTTTGTTCTTGTTTATATGGAAAGAATTAGTTTTTTGCTTCTGATTTAGGGTTTTTTTTTTTTTTTTGAGGTTCTTACAGTTGGGTGTAATTAGACTAACTTGCCTGCTGTTTTTCATGGTTGAAATCTGAGGAAATTGTTTGATGACTTAGGGATGTAGGGGTTGTAAATAAATAAATAAATAATTTGGGTTTCAAATTTTGAATTGGGGTTTCTTTGAATTGGGCTGGTTTTACTTTATTTTTTTATTTTTGTTTTTCTGACATAATGGTTGTGTAATTATGTGATGGTTGATAATGTACTTAATTAGTACTAATATTATTACAGTGATGATGGGCAATTTTATACTGAGAAATTAGTTGTCTTCCACTGTTGACATGAATGCATGCTTGATAAGGATACATGTTCTACAGAGGTTTTGGACAAATTTGATCTTTGTTTCACAATTGTATTGTTAATATTAAAAGTGGGTTTTTTTTTTTTTTTTTAAAAAAAATAAAAATTTGTGGGACTCTTTTAATCATGTGTGTATTTTTTAATACCATGTTTTGTTGTTCTTTACACTATTAATTGGCTAAAAAATAATACTAGTAAAGGTCTGTTTTTATTCAACGGACCAAAGTGTACCAAGCCCTCCAATTGTATTAATTGGTGTCACCCACCCACCACAAACCCTCTTATCTGTGTGCAAGAATTTCCATCAGAGGTTTTTCAACCTTAGTAGTGTGTGAAATTCTAGGTTTTGGGCAGCCATGGCTAGAATTAGGACAAAAGACTAGGCTTATACATATATATATATATAATTCATATGTAAGTATATGCAATCAAGAAGAAACATGGAAATGGAGGATGATGGTTGAGGTATGGATGCCCATTCATGATAGCTTTGCTTCTGTCCTTTCATCCTGGAAACCTGCAATTTTAAACTGTCTTAGGGGGTAGGGTGGGGTGGGGTGGGGTTGGGGGGGTTTGAAATCTTGGGAGATTCCTGGACTCCAGCACCAGACAAACCCACACCATTCATGGTGTGCAGGGTTGACACTATTGATCATCTGGTGTTGAGGTCCAGGGAGTTCTCAAGATTTCAAGACTTCCCTTTTTGCAAACATGTCTCCTATAGATTGAAAATCTTATTCTTATTACATAATAATAATAATAAAAAATAGAATCAAAAAAAGATCTTCCCTAACACATTACTAGTCATATATTTTGATCACACCCCTCCCACTTTAGTCATTCCTCAAATCCTGTTCTTTTGTCCTGTTTTTTAAACCCTGAAATCAATTTGTTAGAGAGAAAATGATACATCATTCAAGCCACAATTTCATGTCTGCATCTATATACAGTGATTATATATAGATATATATATATATATATAAAACACACACACATACACCATCCACATCCCTGTACAAAAAAATTTAGTGGTGTCCAAAATGCACAGATATGATGTCAGTAATGTATGGGGCCTGGCTCATTTATTTTGGCAGTTATATTTGAACCAACACTCTATACAACTGTGGTGCAGAGACCATATGAAAACATTCAAAACTATACCTACAAGATAATCTATATACACACATATATATATAACCTGTCTAGTTTTTTCTGCAACCTGAGGGTCGGACCATATGGTATTAATTGTTGATGTCTCATTTCTGTTTTTGTGTTGAATTAAGAAAATAAAAATCAGAACAAGACAAACAAACAGTGGGGCTATTTCTTGGACTATCATTACAGTTAATGAGCCAAAATGGTCATTTTTTAGTTACAATTTATGCATTCTTGGTCTTTGTTTAGGCTAATTCATACTGAACTTCTATGCACTTAGATAACAGAATTTGCATATCCATTTGTTCTCTAGAGGAAATAAACACAAGCATCTAAATCGAATCTATCAAAAATCATGATCATTTCCAGGTCTAGAACCACCATGAGAATGTTGCTGTTAAAAACACAAATTTCATGATTGAATAGATTTGATTGATACCATAGGACAAGAACTTGGGTAATATGGGAACACAGAAACATGGAGATCTTGCCCATCGAAATGTAATAGTTTCTCTATGATTCTCAACTTCTGCAACATATAATGAAGTAGTTTAACCATTACTTTGTTAACTCGTCTAGTGGCAAGTCGAATGTGACGTCCTATTTTTCTTTAAGGAAATGACAATCCCAACTCTCTTCTTCGCTAGTTACTACAAAAGATAATGCCCTAAAGAAAGTATCCGTAAACACATAATTTCATTAAAGCCCTTCACTGCAATCAATTTAGATCAACAATCGCAAGCTCGACAACTAAGCGAAAAAGAACGCACTGAATTGACATTCTCTGCCAATGCCCAATTAAGAATTAAGATCAAGACAACCTCAAATATCATCAAACATAACAGCTGTTTCCATAATTCCAATTACTGCAAAGATGCAAAACATAAGTTCATAAACCCTTTACTGCAATCAATTTAGATCGATGATCCCAAACTTGACAACTAGCCATTATGCGAAAAAGAAAGCTCTGGATTGACATTGGCTGCCAATTCCCAATTAAGATCAATACAATCTCAAATACCATCAAACATAACTGTTGTTTCCATAATTTCAATTACTGCAAAGATGTAATGCATTCATACATTTCAGCAATTTAGAAATCCTCAAGATCGGTTCGGCAACAACTTACTCGATCGATTACCTGATTTTCCGCAATCCAAACATTCTTTCATCCACAATGATAATCCTCATCTACAGGCATAAAAACATAGCAAAATCAGCAATCCATCAGGTCATTTAAGAGATGCATAAAAACACATTAATAACCATCAAAATCACCTTGGACACTATTGCTTGGCAATTACATTCTCCAAATACCACTTGTAAGTATCTCTTAGTCCATCCTTGAGAGAAATTTTGGGCTCCCACCCCAATCCTGCAAGTTTTGAGCTATCCATGAGCTTCCTCGGTGTACCATCGGGCTTACTCGAATCCCATATAATTTCCCCTTGATAATCGACAGTTTCCTTCACCAATTCAGCCAATTCCTTAATCGTGACCTCCTTTCCGCTCCCAACATTGACGTGCTCGAAATCACTGTAATTCTCCATCAAAAACACAATTGCATCCGCCAGATCATCGACGTGTAAGAATTCACGCAATGGCTTCCCGCTACCCCACACCACAACTTCATCCAATTTGTTGATTTTCGCTTCGTGAAACCTGCGGAGCAAAGCCGGTAAAACGTGGGAATTCTCGGGATGGAAGTTGTCGTTGGGGCCGTACAAGTTCGTAGGCATGGCCGAGATCGCGTCGAAACTGTGCTGAATTCGGAACGCCTGGCACATCTTGATACCGGAGATCTTCGCGATGGCGTACCATTCGTTCGTCGGCTCGAGAGGAGCGGTCAATAGAGCAGATTCGGGGATAGGTTGAGGGGCGAATTTTGGATAAATGCAGGAGGATCCGAGGAAGACGAGCTTTTTGGAGCTGTGTTTGAAGGCGGAGGAGATGACATTGGTCTGTATCTGAAGGTTGATCGTGATGAAATCAGCCGGGTAAGTGTTGTTGGCGTGGATCCCGCCGACTTTGGCGGCGGCGAGGATGACATATTGGGGTTTATGAGCGGCGAAGAAATCGTCGACCGAGGATTGAGATGTTAGGTCAAGCTCAGCGTGAGTGCGGAGGATGAGATTATCGTAACCGAGGGATCTGAGCTTGCGGACGACCGCGGAACCGACCAAGCCTCGGTGGCCGGCGACGAATACGGTGGCGGACTTGTCGGTCGGTGTCGGCGCCATGGGAGCTCACCGGCGGTGGCGATGGAGGTTGTGAGGCAGTGGAAGAGTGATCTGCAAAATTACAGGAACAAAAATTAGCTATGTTTTAATTGGTCTGGGCCTTAAGTTGGGCTAAACCTTATCAAAACGTCGTCGTTTCGCGCTGAGATAATCTAAGTGTTGATTGGGCCGAGTGCTAAATTTGGGCCTTAAATTGGGCTTAGCCCTTAGAATACGTCGTCGTTTTGTACTGAAACCCGAGATCTTCTCGGACATCGAGATGGTCCAGTTCCCTCGAGCTTCGCTTTTTGGTCGTGGGAGTTTCCAATTCCAGGTAAAGGTCGCCGACGGGAGAATAGACCGCGGGCGAATTGTTCTAAGCTCAGGCAAGGCCTGTTACTTCCCAATTTCAAAGATTGGTGGCTATTTTCGAAATTTGTTTATCGGTTTTGCACACTTTCCAGTGAAGCTCTTAAATTGGTGATTTGCGGATGCATCTGTTGTCTAAATGGTATGCAAAGATTGGCTAGTTTGGTAACTGAGTTAAATTGCTTCTTCGGAAATAACGATGACTGTCGATTCTCATTATCAGCTACGAGAAGTTTGTTGGTTCATCTTCAGTCAATATGCATAGCTAATATGCTTAAGTCGAGATGTCGTTTTTATGTTCTTTACGGAAAATGAGGATTACCGATTCCTGTGTTTTTCAATTCATGTTGTAGTGGCCAGAATCGAGAGCTAACTCATCGGCTTGATGCATACGTTCTAGGCTGTGATTTGTTCTAACCTTCGAATTTGTTTCATTGCGCAATAATTTCTGGTGTGGCTGTGGATTCATGAAGCTTTCGTCTATGGCGCCAAGTCTGTTAAAAATGTTTTGAACTATGTTCTTCTTGCATATTTGGTAGGATTCTTATATTGATGAAGGATGCTGTGCTTTTTGATGACATTGATAGAGATTTGTTAAGCACTACCTTAGATGTTGTCCCGAATTTAGTTTAACGAATGTCTTTATTGCATCCATAGATCTATGAGCTACCGAGGAGTGAAGCCATTGCTGTAAATGTTGAATAAATTGAAGGCGAAACTTGGTATGATCATCTGTTAGCATTTACTGTAAATTCTCTCTAACTTTCCTCAAGATATATTGTCTTAAAAGCATCATTGTTCTATTTCAGATCATTGACTCGTCGGTATCCAATCTTGTCGTTTCATTCATACATATGACGAGTTTTACCAGCTTTCGTGGCTTTGTTTTAATGATCGGTGCTTGAGGATACATACATTAAGAACAGCGCAGGAAGATGATGGAAATATCGTATGATGAACTCGGGATGCCTAGCACGATCGGGAACAGATCTACCAGTGATGTCGTAGTGAGGATTCGAACGCAGGAGGGCCGCGACGATTGGATTTACTGCCATTCTCAAGTCCTCGTAAAGAAAAGCAAGTATTTCGCCGACCGATTATCCGATAACTGGCCGACATGCCAAATCATCGACTCACGCAGCTGCGTTGAGGTCTATTGCGAAGAATCTGATTTCGATCATCACGTCAATGTTCTTCGACTCCTCTACATCAACTCAGACGTAACAATGGCCGATTTATGCAGTGTGAAGAACGCACTCGGCACTCTTCGAGTCGCAGCAGAACTCGGAATCTCGCAGATTGTCTCCGCCTGTGTCGGCTATTTGGAAGCCGTCCCGTGGGAGGAATCCGAGGAAGAAGAAATCTTGAAGATCATACCGGAAATGGGATCCCAAACAGAACCCGTACTTGCTCGTCTCCGGCCAGTCAATCCCCTCGCCGTGTTCAAGATCTTCCTATCAGCCATCCGATTTGCCACATCGTCACCGCCGTCGTCGATCCACGATCTGAAAATCTCGGCTCAGGAACAGCTCGAGTATATGCTGACCGAGGACGATGACGCCCCTTTACTAAGCGCCGACGACAAAATTAAATCGGAAGCGAGAAGCTGCGTGAACGATTTATTAGTGAGGTTTTCGAAACTCCTAACGTCTCTGCTTGGTGATCTTAACGACGTAGAAACATCGAAAATGGAGACATTCCAGTCGTACTTAAACGACGTAGCGTGGGCGTCTCAGATTCTAACGAAACTTGAAACGTCGGGCGGTCTCGTCCGGTCGTGGGTCGATTCTTCGCTCGACATAGTAAAAATACTCGATCGAAGATGTTCGGAAAGTTCGGTAAAGGTGAAGGTCCTGGAGATCACTGCAAAAGTCCTCGAAGCAATAGGTTTCGGCGCCGTCATTCTACCGGCGGCGAAACGATTACACATGATCCGGGTGTGGCTCCCGTTTGCGAGACGGATGAGATCGTCGATCGATTCTCCGGCTGTCGCCGATGATGACGGTGATCCGGCATTGAAGCCGGAAGACGAGGTATGGCAATCTATGGAATCTGCATTTGTATCGATTGTTCTGACGTTGCCGTCTGCTGAGCAGGCGGAGATTCTGACGGAGTGGCTGCGGAGTGAGGAGATTAGGTATCCCGACCTGACGGAGGCGTTTGAGGTGTGGTGCTACCGGTCGAAGGTTTCCCGGCGACGGCTGGCCCGAAATGATCGGACGAGTAAAAAGGTATGAGCTATGGCTTCTTGTGTTTGGTGTTGTAATTTAACTTGTAGGTTTAATTTATGTTGTATGGAATGGTTTTGTATTGTTGTTGTGTATAGAAGTTATTGAATTTATATATTGGGATTGATGTTTCTAAAAAAAAGTTTCGATTAGTAACGATTTTTTTTTTTTAAGTGTAGTAAGTAACATTTTGTATTTTTATAATTATTTTCTTTCAATAATATTGAGACAGGTCAAATTCAACAATATTACTGGTGGAGCAGTAGAATTCACTTGGAGTTATAATAAGATGTTTTTTCATATAATATCAAGAAAATTTAAGAAAAATTACAAATGATTTTTAAATTTTTATTTTTCAAAATTTTGTAGTATTAGTTAGAAGTGTATATATAAAAGTGTTACTCTTTCAGTCTGGTATGAGATCTATTTATTCATTTTTTACAAATAGATTTTAGGATATTAATATTATTTTAAAGATGTTTTTATGTAGAGATGTATAATATTTGTTGGTAATTATTTAAAAAATAGATTGATTTAAAGCGGAATGTAAAAGGCAAAATAACAAAAATTATTGGTGAAAAGAATATTTAATACTTGTTGAGTTTATTTTATTATTATTTTAAATCAAAATTAATATTATTTATTTATTACAATTTTTAATAAGTATATATTTTAAAATCATATTAAAATATTATTTAAATAAATAAATTATTCTAAATAAATTTTAAACAACAATTAAACAGAAATGATTGATGTGTTTAAATAAATTACGCTTTAAATCGATCTATTTTTTAAATAATTACCAACAAATATTATACATCTTTACATAAAACATCTTTAAAATAATATTAATTAGGGTGGAAATAGGCCGGCCTGTCCGGGACCTACAGTTTGGTCTGCATAAGGTCTGATTTGGCATGTTTATTAACAAGACTAAATTCAAATATATTTATAAACATTTTTTAAATAAATAGAACAGACTTAGGTTTTACGGAAAAATTTTTGTGGCCTATTCAACCGTCCTGTTTATATATTTATATAGTATATTTTTTTATCTAATATATATAAATATTATATTTTTAATTGTTTATAATTTATAAAAAATTATATTTGGTGACAATAAAAACTAAAAAATTAATTTATTTTAACTGATTTATTATATATAATAAATAATTGTATATATTTTTCTACAAATATTAAGTTTGAAAAAAAAAAAATATTATATAATTTTTTAAATAGGCTTCTAGATCGGGCCAAGTTTTAAAGTAGATCAAGCCTAGGCCTTAGATATATATTTTAATAGGCCATATTTTCATCCATCAACACTAGTCACCAGCCACCTATATGAAATTCAGCATATAACGAACATATTGTTAGAGGTGGTAATTGGTCGATTTGTTCGTGTCGGATTAATACTTTAAACGGTTAAATTAGTTTATCTAACATGACTATGACTCATTTATTATCGTGTCGGATTCGTGTCAACTCGTATATATAATTGAGTTGAAATATTTGATTCAAATTCAATTATTTTGTATCGAATTCGTATCGAATTATCGTATCAAGTCAGCTTTTGTCGGCTCTAAATATTCTTGAAGCATGACATAAGCTTTAAAATATTTATATACTGCTCTAAATTTTTTTAAAAATATTTATATAAAACATTTAAAATAATATATTTTATATTTTTTAAATAAATTTTATACCAAACAAAAAATTAATCTAATAACGGTGAACGGAGATAGCTTTTAAAAGAACAATCCCGCTAAATCTCTTATCATTTTAAGCGAAGCTATGCTAAAAAGGGTAAAAACGTATTTTCAACTTATGCCATCTCATATTTTCATGAATCAATTAAAATGCTATTTAAAAAGTAACAGGAAAATTTAAATTAGTGATTTTGGAAAGAGCGATCTGAATTTGGAGCTTGAAATCCACGCGATTGCCATTGCCAACCAGTCCAAAACTTCACCGCTACAATCGCGCTCAGATTCCATTTAGGCCTGAATTTGTGCGTCGCTGGATCCGAGTTCAGATCCACTGCCTGCCGGTTCGTTTCTTTCTGCTTTTTTTACACGTGTGTATGTATATGCATCTGCTCGGTTCTAGATTAGCTCATTTGAATTTCGATTCTATTTTATTTTGCTTGTTTTGGATGTAGATTTAGTTTATTTGTGATTATGATTGTGTTTGTTATGATTCTGAGATTGCGATCAATTTTGTTTGTATGAAGTTTGTGGAAGGAAGCATGGGAGATCTGTGTAGTGGCTACTGATTTTAATTTTGATTCGTTGTTTTCGGTTGAGCGATTGAGGAGTTCGTCTTCCAGCTTTTTGTACTGGATCGATTACTTCGTTGTTCATTTTGTTGTTGTTGTTGTGTGTGTGTGTTCTACTGCTTAAAATTTAGCAGATTATAATCGAATGTCGTCCGTGGTTGTGATTAATGTGACTGCCTCGCTTGGTTTTGCTCTGCAAATTTGTGTTTATCTTTACCAAAATTTTAGATTCCTCCATAGATGATGTTTTAGCAGTACAAACTAGCACAGTGATGATTTACTAGACTCCACAACTGAATCGTAATACGTTCTGATAAAAAAATATTGTGAAGCTCATCGATCAGCTACTGTGATCAGCTTATAATTTCTGTTTTTTTGTTATTAATTTGTTCTATGAAATTCTTCTTGCAGGTTTGGTTAATTTTCTCTGCAGCACCATTGTTAACATAGGTCAGCAGGTTTGCTTTGCTTTCCTCTGTTAAACAATGGCACTGCCTTTTATTTCAAGAAGGAAGTTATACACCGCCTTGGTATCGTTGCTTCTCGTACTGCAAATTTGCTATGGTTTTTACTTACCGGGAAGCTATATGCACACTTATTCGACGGGAGACGAAATATACGCCAAAGTGACTCATTTATTATCGTGTCGGATTCGTGTCAACTCGTATATATAATTGAATTGAAATATTTAATTCAAATTCAATTATTTTGTGTTGAATTCGTATCGAATTATTCGTATCAAGTCAGCTTTTGTCGGCTCTAAATATTCTTGAAGCATGACATAAGCTTCCGTATGTGTGTGAGTTCTGAACTAAAGTGGTTATGTTATTTTATTTTTAATTGTTAGCAAAATCTGGGGTTATTTCATGATTATTGAAAATAAGGGGGTCTTATTAGAATTATTTCTTGAGATCAGATATCAGTCGTTTCCGATGCGTAGGTGAGTTACGCAGCCGGAGGAGGAAGAGGAGGAAATGCGGTGGTACGTCGTTGCTTCGGCTCTTACCATTCTTACGAGTTCTCAGGTTCACTCTCCCACTTATTTTTCAGCTCAAATCTTAATCCATAGTGATGTCCGTGGATGTGTTTGCAATTTTTTTTTTTTTTTTTTATGTTTCCCCAAAATTATGGTTCTAGGGTTTGCTTTTGTTCGATTGTGGCAGGGGATATTGACAACGCTGTCACAGAGTGAGGGGGGGTACAAGTATGATTACGCCACTGTGCCTTTTCTTGCTGAAATTTTTAAGGTAAACCATAGGTTGTCTGCAAAATGTGGTCGATTTGATCAAATGAAAGTTGGATTTCCTTTGATTTGTTGTGTGTTTGTTTATTCTTATTAACAGATAGATGATTAATGCATCCTTGAAATGAGCACAAATCCATGTTTTTAACAGTTAAATCGAACTAATATCAGTTTATAGAATCAGATAATCTTCTACCAAGCTGTAAGTTCTTCAATGTATATGTGTTTATGTAAAAGGTTTCCCTGTAGAGTATCTTGTTGTTGAGGGAATTTTTGCTTCTGCTATTGACAATCTCTCGTATAATTGCAGCTTATTGTTTCATGTCTGTTGTTGTGGAGAGAATTCCGAGGGCCAACACCTCCGAAGATGACAACTGATTGGAGAAGCATTCGACTATATCCGATCCCCTCAATCATATACCTTATCCACAACAATGTACAGTTTGCCACATTGACTTATGTCGATACATCCACATATCAGATCATGGGAAACTTAAAGATTGTTACGACTGGGATTTTCTTTAGGTACCGAACCACTCTCATTCTTTCCATAAAATCACCTCAGATTTCAACATTCTACCATTAGGAAATCTCAACTTTCTGTTATAGGCTGTTTTTGAAGAGGAAGCTTTCTAATTTGCAGTGGATTGCAATTGTTTTATTGGCTATTGGAACTACGACAAGCCAGGTGCTCGTGGTTTTCTTACTTTGTAATGTTCTAATTACGGTTAGTAATCTAAGGCTCATTTGATGATACAGGTGAAAGGTTGTGGGGAAGCTTCTTGCGACTCGCTATTCTCGTCTCCAATTCAAGGATACATGTTAGGCGTATTATCTGCTTGTCTCTCTGCATTGGCTGGGGTTTACACTGAATTCTTGATGAAAAAAAACAACGACAGCTTATACTGGCAGAACATTCAATTATACACGTGAGATTCGTTCTTTTATTTGTTCCACCATATTCATACACTTGCAGTATTTGTTGAGCACTTCCCGATCATGATTAAGGATATTCTACGAGAACTACAAGGGCCTTCTAATGGTTTTTTATTTTTTAACTTAATTCATTATTCAGCTGTCGCGGATTAGCTTTGATTATGTGATGTTTTAGCTCTTTAAACTTAGTTTTCGTTTCAGATTTGGTTCAATATTCAACTTGGCAAAGCTTTTATTGGATGATTTTAGAAATGGGTTCGAAAATGGACCATTGTGGACACGGCTTTTGAATGGATACACTCTCTCGACTTGGATGGTAGTCTTGAATCTCGGGTCTACTGGGCTCTTAGTATCATGGTTAATGAAGTATGCCGACAACATTGTTAAGGTATTATCTAATATTCCTCCCACCTTTGCATCGATTTTGTCTCCCTGGACATGTTTTTATTACATCCGACATTTGTTTTAACAGGTATACTCCACATCAATGGCAATTTTACTGACACTGGTATTGTCTGTGTTCCTCTTCGACTTCAAACCAACACTGCAGGTGATTTACGACTTACTTCTCCTAACAAGTGTGTATATATATATATATACACGATAAATTGATTTTTTAGTCCCGTAACTGGACTTCTTTATCATTTTAGTTCCGGCCTGTTGCAAACTAGTTCTTAGGGAAAAATTTTCGCAATTTAATCCTCTGGCGCCAGAAATACTTGCGCGGCACCCGCGTGGCTCGCTGGAGGACACGTGTCCGCCAGGTCAGCGACACCCGGCGGACACGTGGATTTTTTTTTCTTTTATTAATTTTTGATCAATTATTTTAATTTATTTATATTATCTTTTTTGTAAAAATTAAAAATTTTCAAGAAAAAATCTGAAAATTAAAAATTTTTTAAAAAGTTTAAAATTCATGTGTCCGCTAGGTGTGCTAACATAAGCATCTCCGGCGCCACGCGAGTGCCACGTAAGCATCTCCAGCACCGGAGGATTAAAACTACGAAAAATTTTCACTTACAGGACTAGTTTGCGACAACTCTCTAGTTTCGAAACTAAAATGATAAAAAGGTCCAATTAAGGGATTAAAAAATCAGTTTACTCATATATATATATATATATGTATCAATTCGATATTTACCATAGTTTTTTTTTTTTTTTTTTTTTTTTTTCCGTGCAGCTGTTTTTGGGCATCCTTATATGCATGATGTCGCTGCACATGTATTTCACGCCTCCTCGTATGCTCGTGGATTTGCCTTTGACACAAAAAGCAGAAGAGTCTCAAAGCCTGGTTGAGGGCTCTGTCGATCAAAGAAGAACAGCCTCATAGTCATAGTAGCTCTCAACTTTACTTGGGGATCAACTCTGAGGTTTGTGAGAATGTCGAATGAGGATATTTTTTTTAATCTTCGAAGCAACGGGCCAACGATCAAGAGTTGAATATGCAGAGTGCCTAACAAGGTTGCTACGTTTAGACAGAAGAAGTTTTGGAAAAATTAGTATTTAATTTGATGTTTTGCGAGAGAAACGTATATTAGATGATTTTTGAAATATTTCGAAAATTGTCAATAAGTTTCTAAGCTGAATGGGTTGAATTTTGTGTTGATTCTATGAAATTAGCATCGTTAGTTCTTTGATATGATTACTAAAGAAAACAGATCATATTTATTTGAATGAATGTTTGTTTGTAGGTTTGGGAATTAGATTTTTATTTTGCATCATTAAATTTTAAATGATGACAATTAATTTGTTGGCAGCAAAATTTACTTAAAATAAATATTTCCTTCTTTCAGTTAGAAATGATACACATGACCTTCAATTACAAAGTATACATTTCATTAAATATTTAATTTTTTTTTTTTCACAAATACTCTTATTTTACATCACATAGTTACTTTTTATAAGCTTAATCCGTAGATGGAGGGAGTATATAATTGGTAAAATCATCATATTTTTTTTCAATATTATTTTTTATTGTGATTGTTTTAAAAAATAATAATAAATAATATAAAAGAATTCTTTTAAATTTTTTTTAAAATATTTATATAAAACATTTAAAATAATATATTTTATATTTTTTAAATAAATTTTATACCAAACAAAAAATTAATCTAATAACGGTGAACGGAGATAGCTTTTAAAAGAACAATCCCGCTAAATCTCTTATCATTTTAAGCGAAGCTATGCTAAAAAGGGTAAAAACGTATTTTCAACTTATGCCACTCATATTTTCATGAATCAATTAAAATGCTATTTAAAAAGTAACAGGAAAATTTAAATTAGTGATTTTGGAAAGAGCGATCTGAATTTGGGGCTTGAAATCCACGCGATTGCCATTGCCAACCAGTCCAAAACTTCACCGCTACAATCGCGCTCAGATTGCATTTAGGCCTGAATTTGTGCGTCGCTGGATCCGAGTTCAGATCCACTGCCTGCCGGTTCGTTTCTTTCTGCTTTTTTTACACGTGTGTATGTATATGCATCTGCTCGGTTCTAGATTAGCTCATTTGAATTTCGATTCTATTTTATTTTGCTTGTTTTGGATGTAGATTTAGTTTATTTGTGATTATGATTGTGTTTGTTATGATTCTGAGATTGCGATCAATTTTGTTTGTATGAAGTTTGTGGAAGGAAGCATGGGAGATCTGTGTAGTGGCTACTGATTTTAATTTTGATTCGTTGTTTTCGGTTGAGCGATTGAGGAGTTCGTCTTCCAGCTTTTTGTACTGGATCGATTACTTCGTTGTTCATTTTGTTGTTGTTGTTGTGTGTGTGTGTTCTACTGCTTAAAATTTAGCAGATTATAATCGAATGTCGTCCGTGGTTGTGATTAATGTGACTGCCTCGCTTGGTTTTGCTCTGCAATTTTGTGTTTATCTTTACCAAAATTTTAGATTCCTCCATAGATGATGTTTGAGCAGTACAAACTAGCACAGTGATGATTTACTAGACTCCACAACTGAATCGTAATACGTTCTGATAAAAAAATATTGTGAAGCTCATCGATCAGCTACTGTGATCAGCTTATAATTTCTGTTTTTTTGTTATTAATTTGTTCTATGAAATTCTTCTTGCAGGTTTGGTTAATTTTCTCTGCAGCACCATTGTTAACATAGGTCAGCAGGTTTGCTTTGCTTTCCTCTGTTAAACAATGGCGCTGCCTTTTATTTCAAGAAGGAAGTTATACACCGCCTTGGTATCGTTGCTTCTCGTACTGCAAATTTGCTATGGTTTTTACTTACCGGGAAGCTATATGCACACTTATTCGACGGGAGACGAAATATACGCCAAAGTGAACTCTTTGACATCGATTGAAACCGAGCTTCCCTTCAGCTATTACAGCCTTCCATACTGCAAGCCAATTGGGAAAATAAAGAAGAGTGCTGAAAATCTCGGGGAATTGCTGATGGGAGATCAAATCGACAGTTCTCCATATCGATTCCGGATGAATCTAAACGAATCTGTCTATCTCTGCACAACTCCTGCATTGACTGCGGATGACGTAAAGCTTTTGAAACAGAGGACACGGGACCTGTATCAAGTGAACATGATTCTCGATAATTTGCCGGCGAGGAGGTTTACCTACCAAAATGGTTTCGAAATTCAGTGGACGGGATACCCCGTCGGGTACACGATTCCTAATAGCGACGATGATTATATCATCAATCATCTTAAGTTTAGGGTATTGATTCACGAGTACGAAGGAGCCGGCGTGCAGATAATAGGTACCGGAGATGAGGTTATGGGCGTCGTTTCTGAAGCCGACAAAAAAAGAGCTTCCGGGTATGAGATCGTCGGTTTTGAGGTTGTCCCATGTAGTATAAAGTACGATGTCGAGAAGATGACTAAACTTCACATGTACGATACGTTCGAATCCGTAGGCTGTCCGCAAGAACTCGCGAAGTCTCAGGCGATAAAGGAGCAAGAACGAGTATCGTTCACGTACGAGGTAGAGTTCGTAAAAAGCGACGTCAAATGGCCGTCTCGTTGGGACGCATATCTTAAGATGGAAGGCGATCGCGTCCACTGGTTCTCGATTCTAAACTCGTTGATTGTTATTTTCTTCCTCGCAGGCGTCGTTTTCGTCATATTCTTAAGAACAGTTAGAAGGGATCTAACGAGGTACGAAGAATTAGACAAAGAAGCTCAGGCGCAGATGAACGAAGAGCCATCCGGATGGAAGCTCGTCGTCGGCGACGTCTTCCGCGAACCTTCCCATCCAAAGCTACTCTCAGTGATGGTCGGCGACGGTGTTCAGATCGCCGGAATGGCGGTCGTCACGATCGTTTTCGCAGCTTTCGGTTTCATGTCGCCGGCTTCTCGCGGTATGCTGCTGACAGGGATGATTCTGCTCTATCTTTTTCTCGGGATATCGGCCGGTTACGTCGGCGTAAGATTGTGGAGGACAATTAAGGGATCGTCGGAAGGTTGGAGGTCGGTGTCGTGGTCGATATCGTGCTTCTTCCCCGGAATTGTGTTTCTTATTCTAACTCTCTTGAACTTCCTCCTTTGGGGAAGTAACAGCACTGGAGCCATTCCCGTTTCGTTATACTTCACGCTACTGTCGCTCTGGTTTTGCGTCTCGGTCCCGCTCACTCTGCTCGGCGGGTTTTTGGCGACGAGATCGGACCAAATTCAATACCCTGTTCGAACAAACCAGCTCCCGAGGGAAATTCCCGCACGAAAATATCCATCATGGGTTCTAATTCTCGGCGCCGGAACGCTTCCGTTCGGGACCCTTTTTATCGAACTCTTCTTCGTATTGTCGAGCATCTGGCTCGGGAGATTCTATTACGTTTTCGGGTTTCTACTTATTGTGTTCTTGCTGTTGGTGATCGTCTGCGCCGAGGTTTCTGTTGTCCTGACTTATATGGAGCTATGTGTCGAGGATTGGATGTGGTGGTGGAAGGCGTTCTTTGCGTCGGGGTCGGTTGGGGTGTATGTGTTCTTGTACTCGGTGAATTATTTGGTGTTTGATCTCCGGAGTTTGAGCGGGGCGGTGTCGGCAACTCTTTATCTCGGATACTCGCTGATTATAGCGATTGCGGTTGCGCTTTCGACAGGTACCATCGGCTTCCTTGCTTCGTTTTATTTCGTGCATTACCTTTTTTCGTCTGTGAAAATTGATTGAGCTTTTTAGTAGAGTAGAGTGTGTTCTTGGCACTATTTTTTTGCAATGGTGGTCGAGAAATTATGTTAGGATTTGTAGATGGTAACGTCATAACTTGCAGTCGTTACTCTGTCGTTCGGGAATGTATATTTTTTAAAAGAAAAATTATCCAAATTTTCAACTTTAAAAGTTCTTATTTACATTTTATTTTTCATGTTATCAATCAAGATAATCTATTATATAATATTTACAATGCTACTATTTTCTTAATTCAAAGAAATTTAAATCCAAAAAATTTAAAATTACAATAGCTTCGATATTTTATATTTTATATGTAATAGTTTACTGTTGTGTCACAAGAGTCGACATCTGTGTATACAGCAGTAAATTGAAAAACACACAAAAACACGGCCGTGTTGAATTGTTGATAAATACGAACTTTTCACATGCCATGTTCTTCTATTACAATTTTCTACAAATACACCTAAGGTATAGATTGTGTTCCACTAAACAGTCTTATTTGAAAAGATCCATTTACACGATATTCATTAGACACGGCCTTGTTTGCGCCCGAACATGGCCGTGTGCTAACTCAAACCCCATTACATCCATTTCTAATTTGAACCAATTTTGATGGACTTTTTATATGAGACCAAAATTTATTTATTTTCCTAAATAATAGTAATATAAAGTATCAAGCCTAACTATCTCCGGCAATACAATCTTCTTCTTAGGGGAAATATTCTATAGTAGTCAATTTTTGCCGTAATTCATCTTTCTATTTTAGAGTGATAAGGATATTCTCTATTAGCAAAAATAGAGAATTATACCGTAACTCCTCTGAAGATGGCCTTAGGACGTCGTCACTATTATCTCTATCTTATCTTGATTTCATCATGTTAATCTAATTAAAACATTAGGTCAAAAACCTATTCAATGTCTACAGAGGCATTACAGTTAAAAAAAAAAAAAAAAAAAGAGATTTCTTTGAGCCGCAAGTAAGCTAGCTACTCATAATCACGAAAAAAACCACAATCGAATTCTAAAATACAGCAAATACGAAATGTTAGTTACCACGGCTATAGTTACGATCATGATGCTGCTTCTTTCTTTCCTCTTCGCCTCGATGCTACTTCCAATGCCCAAGCTTTCCCCACTTCAGTTTGGAATTTCCCTATAGAATAAGTGAGTACAACTCATTCCAATAGATAAACAAATGATTCGCATTATGTAGTTTATAGTAAAATATGATTTTTCGCAAAAAATACCGAATTTTCATTCAAAATATTATGTTTATTCACATCCAAAACACCAAAGATATATACAACCGCGTTATCCAAGTAATGAATAAGGTAAATTGGAGGTAGTAACGGTGCAAGAACTGTAAGCATTGCAAAAAAAATAAAAAAAAAAACTAGAAAAATTACCTGCAGTGGACTCGAAAAACTCTTCCAAATCCTTTCCCTGCTCTGTACAGGAGAATAGATTACCATAGCTAAGTTACCATAATCACATTTTATTTTGCGAAACTACTTGAAAGATAAGCAAACGAACATAAATGTAAATTTCAATATTAACAGATTTGGATAAAGTATTAATCTCATACATTTATCAAAATTCTAATCAGGGACAGCAAATATGACTTCAAAATTCTTACAAAAGTTCATCGGTATAACAAAATCATGGTGATAATAGATATAATTGGCAGTGACATTTACTTAATTAGGTAAACTCCACTTCTTTTGCAGGTTATAGAAACAACATTTTATTACTTTTGATTGATGCGAATATTAATAGCATTTCAATGCACTACATTCCAAATATTGGCCGTAAATTGAAGAAAGTATATGAACATACACACACGAAGGCGGAACCAGACCAGGATGAGAGGGGGGATTAATTTTTCAAATTTCGAAACAATCATCGTCTATTTGTTATCCAATAATTTTATCAATGAAATTATCATATTTCAAAAATCTTACAAAATATCAATATGCAGTGACAATGCATATTACCGGATGAATTTTTTTGTATATGAAATTGATAAATAGTAAAAACATTATTAAAAAAAAATAGCTCTTAAAAATATCATCTCCTATGTATTTGGTTGAGAATTTTTTGAAGATTTTTTTTTAATTATTGTTTATTACTTTTTTGTTCATATCTATTTTTATAGCATCAAACTAGTATTATGATATAAATTTTTTTATTATTCAAAATTTAAATTTTCACATAAATACTCTATCAATTTTTAAAAAAAAATTTTAATTTGTTTATTGTTTTTTATATTATATATTATAAAATAAAAACAAAAAATTAAAAATTGAAAGGGGTGGGGTGGGGGGAGGGAGCTGGAGCCCCTTAGCCCCACATACATCGGCCTCTGAAGATATACATAGGGACTGCTTCTAGCTTTCTTGAGATGAGAAAACATGAAAGATCATTTGCTGAGGCTTTCGCAGGATATAATGCTCATGAAATTGACTGAAAATAATTGAAACGAGAAAAACCACATCGAATTTTACCATTTTCATACTCCAGGGCCTGAAGTATCATCTCCACCTGAAAAGAAAAAGCACAACGATTAGAACATGTGCTGAAAATACTCTTGTTCGTCCAACTGAAACTATACATCACTAATCGAATGATCTGTTGGTCATCAATCAAATGATAATCGGCATTTGTGCATATCTAAAAATCAGATATGCAAAGGGCTTTATCTTTCCTTTCTTGATTACCACATCAGATAGCCAAAACACATCCTACATGAAGTACATTTATAGCTCAAATCTAAGAAGCTGTATGTACAGTAGTTTTAGTCGCTGTAGCAAATGGAAAGTTTAAAAACCATTAACTTGCTCTGGATCTCACAAACTATATCAAGATTACCTTGTCGAAGTCTTTTACAACCTTGGCTTCTAGGGAAGAGTTTTCTTCATACTCTGACCACAGCTCACTGATCTCCTTAGCTGCATTGAATATATACTATGAACCGAAAACATAGAAAATGTCCAGCAGATCATCTCATACATAATGAGTTCTTTATAAAGATCTTTATGTGAATCACAACAACAAAAGATACCTCTTGGCCCTCCACCAAGTAGTTCGCACATGTTCTTCAATGCCTCTCGCTCACGCCGGCTCTTTTCTTCCTTTGGAATCCCATCAGAAGGGGCAATATCGCCAACAATAGCTACACAAAGAAACAAAACAAAACCATTGGCATTATGGCATATTAGTATTAATAAAAAGAAACAAGAACACCATAGATGTTTTAAGGTCATTCTCACCTTCAGCAATGTCGTGTACAATTGCCATTTTTATACACCTGGAATTCACATAAACAAATATTAAACACACTGAAATCGAATCATTACCAGCAAAAAAGCTAGATAACAAAATACAACTGAAAACCAAACCATTAATTTTCGAATTCTCACTTTTCACGATCGACGCCAGGAATATCAGGAGCTATAAGAGCCATTAATCCCATCCTATACATGTGATCAGCTATCGACTCTGGTCCCTGAACCTCCCTCCGCACCCATCCTGTTCGCTTTGTTGTCTGCCAAAATTGGGAAGCTCAGCATAGCAAAACAAAGTGAAGCAAATGAACAGAATAAAAATCTAAAACACAAAATCTCTGCTAACTTCGCCACATGTGTCATTCCTTAGCATCACATGCACACATTTGACAAACAGTGGTGTTTTTATAGACATTTCCAAGATCAAAATGGAAAGGCATGTAGGCACTAGGAAAACCAATAATTATTTGAATTCCTATACATATGTTAACGCCCAATCACTACACTAAAATGGAAAATCAACGTATATTCAATGATATCCTCACTCCTACACCAGAAATCATCCAATAACCAATAGGAAAAATCTAAAGGACAAAAACCTAACTAAAATCGATGCAATGATCATAAACATCGCTTTGTGATTTGCAAAGTACCAACGCCAATTCTCCAAACCGTTTAATCCAACAGCGTCTCAATCAACCAAACATAGAACACACACAACCAAGCGTATTCCCCGAAAATTTTCAAAAATCTGGAAGAGCATTTCGTTCGATTTAAAAACACAAGCAGTCGAGTCGTACAGGCAGCGATGCACACGCACCTTGAGACGGTGGCAGAGAGAGAGGAAATCGATCGCGGAAGTCGACGATGACGAAGTAGAATCACAAGGTTCGGCGGCGGTGGACATCCGAGGAGGTTTGGCGGCGGCGGAGATGCGGAAGTGAGCGGCGGAGGCGAGGAAGGGGGAGAGTATGGATCTGCAGCTTATCAGTCTGCTCATTTTCTTTGAAATTTTATTATTTCATTCAAGGTCGGGTGAAAATAGAAACCCGCCGTTTACGGTTTTTTTTTTGTTGTTTTTTTAAATTTTTTTATTAGTTTTTTATATATATTCGTCATTTTAATTAAAATTATTATTATTCTCCAGCAATAAATTAATTTATTATTAATTTTAATAACATTAAATTTTTATATTTAATTGTTATCTTTTATTTAATCCGTCTTATTCGCTTCATTCCACTTATTATATATTTTTTCATTTACATTCCTCTCAATTATTTTGTTACTTTAGTTTTTCTAAAATGATTTTAATTTTAATTTAAAATTTTTAATTAGTATTTTATTAATTTTAAAAAATTAATTATTTATATTAATCTTCATCTGTAATTATTTTTATTAAACATAATTATTTTAATTATGAACGAAGGAGGTAATCTTTTGATAGTACTACTATTTTCTATTCATCATATTAATTAATCATTAAAGATAAATATCTTCAATTATTTTTTTTAAATTTTTTTATTCTTTTTAATGAAATAATTAATTTTTTTTATCTTAATGTCGGGCCAATGAATTATTTATACAGACAAGAGCATGATTTATATGTAAAAAAAAAAAAAAAAAAAAGAGGCGGTTATATAAATTTTTGTACAAATTTTTCATGTACATTTATTAAATTTACATTTAATATTTTGTATAAAAAAAAAAATAGAAAATGTTTTCAAAAAAGTAATTGTATAATAATTTTTTTACTTTGATATATTTTCTATAATAAGTATTGAGTGTATTTTTTAATAAATTTTTAGAATTTATTTGATAATAATTTGAAATTGGAAATGAAATGAAATGTCATATTTAAATTTTTATTTATAAATATAGAATAAGTTAATATTTTTATAAAAAATTTCACGAACTCAAACTCTGCTTTAAAACTCATCCTAAATTGGATTATCATATCTTCAAAGCAAATGATACAAATATTAAAAAAGTTCAAATAATATTGATTTTGGTTTGAAATTTCGATAAACACATCTTTATTAATAAATGATATTGTGCTTATGAATCTCTGCACTTTCTTTACTGTTTATAATTTATATTTATTGAAAAAAATTATAAAATATTATATCAAATTTGATATAAATAAATAAATAAAAATTAAATCTCTCTAACAGGAAAAAGTTATTTTTATTACAAAAATAAATTTTATTCGTTTTAACTCAATATACTCTCTCCGTCTTGAAATTAAATATTTATTTACTTTTTGTATGTAATTTTAAAATATTAGTATTATATTGGGATATAGTAGGAATAAAGGTAATGACATTTGTGTAATATATTGTAAATTGTAAGGGTATTTGTAATTTAAGGCAGATAGTACAGTTACTAAAAAAAAAGGAAATAGATACTTTGTTATGAGACGGACTAAAATGGAAAAATAGATACTTTGTTATGGGACGGAGGGAGTATTATTTTTACTGTTTTTATGTCTCGATCAAAATAACTTTGAAAAATAAATATACTAATTTTACCATTTTAATTTGTATATTATAAATATGCTCGTACATGAAAAAATATATTCAATGCAATAGTCTTGTTTACTATTTTTGTCAATCCTAAAACAATAATCTTATTTTCATAAATAATCATACCACTATATAACTATCCTTACTCTTTCATTATTATTACACAATTGTCACTACCTTTTACACTAATATACTCACAAGGGCAAAAATATTTTTTACATGTACTTTTTACTCACTATTAATATAATATCAATATGCCCAACACAATCAATTTATAGTTCCGAAACGGAGAGAGTATAAAAAAGTGTTCTTTAAATTTTTGCTCACTATGTTTATTTATTTATACTATTGTTATTATTCAAGTCTATTGTAATTTAAAAATTAAATATTCTTAATCATATAAAAAATTAAATTCTACTCTGATAAAAGAATGTGGTTGTTCGGGGTTTGGATTTTGAGTTGGGATTTGAATAGTAAAAATTTTGAATTTATATAGTTGTATAATGTGATATAAATAGGTGTTGATATGATATTTTGAATGTAAAATTAATTTTTAGTATAATTAAAAAATAAAAAATAAATATTTAATTTGATATTTTAAAAAATAAAATAAAATAAATAGCGGAAATCTAATCCAATATCTCAAACAAACACACCCTAAGGTCGGTATCCCAAAATTTTAAATACATTTTTATAAGTTAGAAGAAGAAGTATACTGTATTAAATTAATAAGCGGGGCCAGGTCGAAATCGAGAACCAATACCACCACACCACCCAAGTGTCGGCAGGAAAACGCCAAAACCACAGGTGCATCTGAGCCGTTCGTTGATCTGATCCCAATCCAACGGCTACAGTGGAAAGTTCACGTGGGCCGGGCCCGCGGATTAACAGGCGCAGATCACGTACCCTTCCATTTACATTACATTAGCTGTCAACGTCGTACCTTCAATTATTCATTCTGCCTAAACTAAACTAAACTAAATTAAATTAATTAATATATAAATAACTCATAAAATTATGCTTTCCACATGTCGATTCCTAATTCAATAATGCATACACCTAATGAGATTATAAATACAAAAGAAATGGAATGTCACCGTTTTGATTTGAAAAAATTAGTACCAGCATTAATAAAATATAAAAATAACAAATTTCTTTACTAAAAGCAGGTATTGTTTGTAATAATTATACGTATTGTTTGTTTATAATTTCATGTATGCTGAAATAATGTTATGTGTGTTGTATGAGACAAATAATGTTACGTGTGTTATATTTGTATTATATAAATATAAATTATATGTTATCACTAATATTATTGCGTTAGTTCGTTGTATTTATATTATATTAATATAAATGATATGATATCACTGATATTATTACAATGTATTGTTTGCTAGCTATACTAATGTTCCAATCTCCCAAAAGAAAACAATACAGCAAATTTCAGAGAAATAAAAAAATGGGCTGAAATTGATTAAAAACCTTTGGTCTTGATTCTTTACAACAAAGCCACAAAAAGGTTGTAATAAAAATAAGAAGATAAGGAGGGCGCCTTTCTTTCCACTCCATTTGCCTTCTAGAAGAAAAGAATAATAATTATAACAATGTATACACTTTTTTTTTTCTTTTTTTAGCTTTGCCCATGTAAAAGACAAATTTAAATAAAACCACCAAAAGGTTAAAAAAAAAGAAAAAAAGAAAAAAGGAACCCTAATTCTAAATTAAATCACTTTACGAGTGGCGATGATTAGGACCGTAATACGATAAATACCACTTAACAAACTTTTTCAACCCGGTTTGTAAATCGGTTCCGGGTTTGTACCCTAATTCCTTGCGGGCCGCCGTTATATTCGCGTGCGTGAACGGAACGTCGCCGTTTCCGGGCATTTCGACGACGTTTTTCTTTGCCTTTACTTTCAGATGCTTCTCGAGAATTCCGACCATCATCGGCACCGTCACCGGCGACGTATTACCCAGATTGAAGATCCGGTACTGGGCCGGGGCCCGCTTCTTGCCGCCCGACCCGGTGCTCCGCTTCGCGGTATCCAATGAGGCGACGCAGCCCTTGACAATGTCGTCGATGTAGGTGAAATCCCGGGCCAAGTCCACCCGGTTCTTGCCCCGGTAGATGGTTATGGGTTTCCCTTGGAGGATGTTGCGGGTGAAGGAGAAATAGGCCATGTCGGGTCGGCCCCAGGGTCCGTAAACCGTGAAGAAACGGAGCCCCGTTATGGATAACCCGTATATGTGGTTGTAGGTGTGGGTTATTTCCTCGCCGGCTTTTTTTGTGGCGGCGTAGAGGGAAGCCGGCCGGTCGGTCCGGTCCGGTTCGGAGAACGGAACCTTCTCGTTCAGGCCGTAGACGGAGCTGGAGCTCGCCCAGACTATCGCCGGCTGAGGATCGGCGGATTTGCAGACCTCGAGGAGAGTGACGAGGCCGGCGATGTTGCTGTGGATGTAGGAATGAGGATTCTCGAGAGCGTACCGGACGCCGGCCTGAGCGGCGAGGTGCATCACGTGAGTGAAGGAAACGGTTTCGAAGAGCTTCGCGAGGAGGCGCGCGTCGTTGATGTCGCCGTCGACGACGAAGACGTTCTGCGCGCGGAGGAGGTTCCGCCGCGCCTTCTTCAGCGAAGGATCGTAGTAGTTGTTGAAGTTATCCAATCCGACAACTCCGTCGCCGCGCTTACGCAGGGCGAGGGAGACGTGCGTGCCGACGAATCCGGCGGCGCCGGTGACCAGCACGGAGAATCCGTTGCGGCGGTGGATCTGAGCGGAGGTTCGCACCTGCTTCTCCCAGTGCGCGCCGCCCCAGGCGGTGGAGAAGTACTTGCTGCCTGAATCGACGAACGATTGGAAGCTCAAATACGACGCCGTCAACGCTACCAGAAACAGCGCCCACAGGAACATTGTGCTCGTCGACGCGAAGCACCGGTGGAACTGCCGGTGCATTGAGTGCGACTTGTCCTTGAACTTCCCCGGCGTCGATGGCAGAAACGATTCCTCCTCCGGTAGGTTAGGCATTTCAATTCCCGATCCGATCCGATCAACCAACAAATCAATCAATCAATCAACCAATCGAATCCAAAAACAATACCAAAAAACTGAAAAAAAAAAAAAAAGGATTAAAACAGCAAAATCCAGCAGAGCAGATGCAGATTTGAACAATCGATGCACCTGGTTAGTGGAGGGGGAAGAAGACGGAATATATAGTGGGAGACCACACGAAAGGGGGAAGAAGGTGCGCGAACGCGTAGAAGGACGGCCAGTGAGGAAAATGCATATATTTATTTATTTTGAAAAACGAAAAATAAACAATAAAAAATGAAAAATGAAAAATCAGTACACTGTATTCTATACGCTGAATTGCCAGAATTGGTGACATACCTACGTATGGCATACACTGCTGTAATCATTACTATAATTACAGTCGGGGGTAAAGTAATATTTTTTTAAATACTTATTATTTTTGTGCATATATACACGGTTTAATCGATTTTCGATTTTAATATAAAATTTATAGTGAATTATATTGTGTCCGAAAGTGGTTAAATTAAAATAGTTACTATATGTAATAGATCTTTACGTAATTTACAAAATCTATTTACAGAACCCTTTAAATCTCAAATATGCATTTTTTTTTAAGTATAAATAATTTTTATATAATTTTTTAATTAAGAAGATGTAGTTTTTAATTAAAATAGATTTACTCTAAATTTTAATTAAAATAAATATAGGTCTACATTTTGCATAGAGAAAATAAATTTGTAAAAAAATAATGAAAATTAACTTACAATGAAATTTAATTTCTTTATTTAATAAAAAAAAAATTCAATTAAAAATATAATATAAAATATAGCAATATGGAATAATATAGGGGTGAGCATTCGGATTTTCGGTTCGGATTTGGCAAAATTCGAACCAATCCAAAAATCTGAAATGTTTGAAAAAATCAATCCGAACCGAACCGAAATAACTGAAATCTGAACTAAAAAATTCGAACCAAACCGAAAAATCCGAAATTCTAAATATTTTTATTTTTATTTTTATTTTTAAAATTATTTTATATTTTATTATTATTTTATAATATTAAATATATAATATATAAAAATTAAATATATTAAAATATAATTAATAAATTTGAATTTTTTATATTTTGAATTTTTTATATTAAAATATAATATTTTCTAATAAAATATTAAATATGTATAATAAAAATATATATTAAAATGTTATATTTCAGATTTCGGATTCGTTCGGATTTTAAGTATACCGATCCAATCCAAAAATTCGAAATTTATTAAAAATTCAATCCGATCCAATCTGAAAATCCGAACCAAATTTTAAATTTCGATTTGGTTCGGATTGAATTTTCGGATTTCGAATATTTTGTTCACCCCTAGATTAATCAATTTGAAGAAGATGGTATATTAGTGAAGTGAAAAAAAAAATGATAAAACCAGAAGAAGATCGAGTAAGTTAAAGAATATTTTAGTAAAATAAAAATTAACATAAAATAAAGTATGTTTAGCTAAATATTGTTTTTAATTTTATTTATTTATTTAAATATTAATTTAAATTTAATATTTTATATGAGAAATAATATTTTTTAATATAGAATTATAAAATTGAATAACAAGAAAAAACCAAATCAACACACTAATAATATTTTATTATAATAAGTATTTCTTAAAATATGTTATGATAAAATTAATATATTTTATTAAAAAGAAAATATAGTATTTATATTATATTATGTTAAAGTACATTACTTTTTAATTATATTTAAATAATATTGTAATATGTTAATTTGTAAAATAAAATAATACTCCTTCCATCCCATTATCATGTTCATATTGCCGTTTCTATTCGTCTCACATCTGATGTTATTTTTTTTTCTAGAAAATGATTAAGCATATATGTTAATTATTTTTATTAATACATTTTTAATTATTTACTAATTATACTTATCATAAACTCTCGTATCTACAGTAACCAAGACACCCGATATGGGACGGATGTAGTATTTTTTTTATATAAATAGTTAAAAATATATAGTAAAAGAAATCATTTACCTCATATATATATATATATATATACACATGGTATATTTATTATTTATTAAATGTGACGCATGAAATTCTACTCTAATGATTTTATTTTCAATTCGAAAGTCAATGGTGTGAGAATGGCTTCACGTGCCCAATAAATACAAGGCTTTTACTAATCTTCTACTTACTAATAATAATTAATTATAATTACATATTAATAATCTTGTATTTAACATTATACGCGTGACGTAAGTCAAAATTTTGACCAGTCTTTCAGAATAATTGTAACTTAAAAATGATCATTTGAGTGTAGAGAAAAAAAAATAAAAAGAAAAATAAAAACCAATATACACAAATTTAATTAATTTTAATCCCAATGCAAAAAACTAGTGAAAATTATTAATGGAATAAAAAAGAACACACCACACAATTCTCAATAATTAGTAATAAGAATAAAAAATACTACTCACTCCGTCCCACGTATCAGCTCCACGTCGCTGTTTCTCACCGTCCCACATACCATGTTACTTTTTTTTCTTGAAAAATGATTATACATTTTAATCTCATTTTAAACTTTTTAATTTATTTTTTTTATTTAAATTAAACTAATTAGTTATTTTAATATTAATTTATAATTATTTATATTATAAGATAATTATTTTCACTGATACATTCTTAATTATCTATTAATTATACCCTTCCTAAAATAGCGTGTCTACAATGTAACAATATGTGGGACGAAGGGAGTACTAAATACTAGAAAAATACATCGAAAGTATCTCGGGTTTGTCTCTTTTGATAATTATTTTTTTATACATTTTTTTAAAAAAAATTAATACACTACACATTCATTATTTTTATATTATCTACACAATTTCTATATTTATATAAAATATTTCCTATAAACACACACACCATCTTTCTTTTTGTTAATAAATAGTATATTAAACATAAACAGAATTTAAATTTATTATTAAAAAATTTGATTGAATTATAGAAAAATTGAAAGTTAAAATATATATATATATATATAAAAAATGTAAATTTGTTAACTGATGTTTTGAGTTATTTTATACTTAATTACAAAATAATTACTGTTAAATTTAATATCTTAAATTTAAATTTAGAGTGTACATTTGTAAGTTTTACATACATTTTTACTATTCATAAACAAATGGTGTGTTTGACTTGTGTGTGTCGGTGGCTCGTGTAATAGTAATTTAAATTTGTATAAATAATTATATGCAATATTTTTTTAAATATATAATAATATATAAAATAGTTTTATTTACAATAACGAAAATTCAAAATCAAACACAATTAATTAATTTATTTTTATTATTAACGACTTAGCTGCATGTGTCATGTCACAAATTCCTTACTAGTCCAAATGGAAATAAATGGACCATTTCTTGCTACTAAGGGCATTTTAGTAATTCACAATTTCGAAAGAATCCAAAACAGCATGGAACTCCACCACTCGTCGCACGTGGGCGCACGTATTCTCCATTCCTCCGGTCCGGCCGGACCGGCCGCCGTATTTTTTATTTTTTTTATCAATAATTATAAATACAGTATATAAATTAAAATGTTTTTAAAAATAAATAAATATTCTAAAACGTATGGTAACTAATTTAAAGTAACATACAGCTGTAATAGGAAAAGGTGACCGGAAACCGGGTGTAGCCAGCAGAGGCCATTAATGCGGCGGCGATGTGGTTTTGCCGGTTTGGTAATTTATTCAAAGTTGTGGGCGGTGGCCGGTTCGGCCTTATCCCTTTTAATCTGAGGCTTGCCAGGCTGTTCCAGTAGTAACTGCAGAGGCAAAAAGTGCGTCCTGTTTGGTTGGTTGATAAAATATTTTTTGGAAAACCATGTGCACTTACACACGTTATAAATTATAATCGATATATAACCACAGTAAACACTTTCGTTGTGTATTTATTTATGAATAATTATATTAGTCACATGTATTTTTTTTATTATTATTATTTTTAATAAAAGTAAAATATGGATACACTTTCCAATACATATAATTTTCCAACCGGGCTTTCCGGTAGTTCTCTCTAACCTCAGCCATACAAATGAATTTTTATGTTTCTTCGGTTGGTATTCTTAAAAAAAAATAATAATAATAAATAATTATTCAATTTGTATTTATTTCTAATAAAAGTTACTTATTTTTTAAAGAACATTGTTTAATTCAAATTTAAATAGAAAATTTCGAAAATAAAAAAAAAAAACGAAACAAAAACAAGTACCACTGTTTATCTATCTATATATTATATATATTTGAGATCGGTCTATAATTCCTTCGTTATGAGATTTTTTTGATTTTTTTTAATGTTTTTCTGTTTTACAATTTTTATCATTATTTTTATATGATAGTGGATATTTCAAATTTATCAACTTTTTACACTTTTTTTTTATATAGTATCAGTGGATATATATACACTTTTTAAATTTTATAAAATTTATTTCTAATATTTTTTTTACATACTTTTCTTAACAAATTATTATATAATTTTTTTCCATATTTGTTTCATCATTTATATATAATTTTTTTTTATCTTACTATTTTGAAAAACATATATAATCAGAGTATTTATTTTTATACTTTTTTTTATAGTGTGTAAATAATTTAATATGATATTTATATATATTATGTAAGATTTTATTTATTTTACGGTTATTTTTTTTCTTCGTAAACTTAATAATATTTATAATTGATCATTTTTATATTATTTAAATCTAATTTTTTATTCCTATACTAGTTTTTTTATTCATGAATATTTTTATCTTATCGATTTTCAAAATATATTGAATTCGATGAATATTAAAATATACTATCTCCGTCTTGACAAAAATGCAATATTTTGTTTGGGCACGAGAATTTATGTAGTATAAATTAGTTATTTAAATAATGAGTATTATTATTTAATGATTAAAAAAATTTACAATATGTATTTGAATATTTTAAACATTATATATCTCAATAGAATATATATATAATATGAATACTATTTTTTAGAGAATAAAATTTTATTAATACAAATTAAAAAGATTATTTATTTATTTGTCATTATCATAAATTAGTTTTATAAAAAATATAGAGTTTTAAAGATAAATAAAATATTTGTTAATTGGGGAGATATATATAAATAAAAGATTTTGAGTGGGTATTATGTGTAAAATATTAAAAATTTAATCAAATTGATTTATATTCGTTAAATGTATTTAAGATTGATAAATTTATTAAAAATATAGAAAAATGTCATATTATATATAACAGACAAAAAATGAAAACTGAAGTATGATTTTTTTGATTTGTATTTAATATGTAAATTTATTGTTAATTATTATCTATCATGTATATATCATATTCAATTAATATATTTTAATAAGTTTTAAAAAAATTTAGTCAATTTTCAAAATTTTAAATGATTTATTTTTTAAAAAATATAATATTTTTATTTATAAGTTAATGTCTAATTTTATTTTAAAAAAAATAAGTTTGAATAATTATAGATGATACTTTTATTGAATTATATTATTTTTTGCTTATATATTAAATTTGCAATAAAAAATTAAGATAAATAATTATCTACTAATTTTTAAAAATAAATAAATTAAAAGTTAGTTTTTAAAATAAAATCTCTATTTTACTTTTGTAGTTGTTCTAATTTGTATAAATAATTTAATTATGTCATATATTTTTTTATATAATAATTATATTAACAATTGTTACATAATTATTTTTCACTATATACTAACTTTATAATTAATTTTTTCAACTTATAATTTTAATTATTTTTTAGTTTTTTATATAAATGTTAAGTTTTTCTGTATTATTGTACGAATTAACCATTTTGATGTTCAAGATATTTGAAGTGAAACTAATTTTACAAAGATTGTAGGTTTATAGAACTATAAATATATCGTAATTTTTTATTTATATTTTATATACAATTTTTAATGTAGATATGATGCTAATTAGACAATAAAAGACGATACCGTAAGTATGAATTTAAAATTGTCACACAAAAAATTTCAATTTATATTTCGATGTCAACTATTCTATTTAAAAAATTTACAAAATCAAACATATTTTACAAGTATAAATAATACATATATATTATTTCATTGTTAATTATTTTTAGCATACTAATTATTTTTAAATATATAACAAAAAATTATATATAATTAGTATGAGAGTTTATTAACACTTTTATAAATTGTGTTTATATTATATAGTACTAATTATATTTTCGTGGACAAAAAAAATAAAATCGTCACATGGTAAATTTAATATTAATTGTTAATTAGTTTTAAAAATATTTGTATATTTCTACAAAATATTTGTCAATATAATTAATTATTTGTATAATATTATTTCAACAATTTATACACAGTGCATAGCACGGATTTCCAAGCTAATTTAATATTATAATTCTTCAGTCCCTTAAGTAGGTATTCGTTTGTTTTTTTATACAGATTTTAAAGTATACAGTATTCTATTGGTAAAAACAAACACACCCTTACATTCCCACCCTCAGCAAAATCGAAAATTTCGTCGATTGATTCGTGTTCTTCAGATAGGATCGACGGAATGGGTCGAAGAAAACAGGCAAAGGCTGTGGCTTACGTGAACGTCGACGTTGCCGTTTCGGGCGCTGGAATCAACCCTGTCGCGACGACGCAGCTAGACGAACTGATCTTACAAGCAACAAAACAGGTTCAAGTTTGGACAATGAGTCTATAGTTTTGTGTAAGAACAGAGGTTTCTTTTCTGTTCTGATCTTTGTTTAAGGTCTTGGATCCCGACAATTCGTCACGAACAATGTACAACTCGTTGATCAGCCATGTGAACGATGTGATCGTAAGTTTGCGATGTTTCCGATAGCGCGGCGCATTTTATCGATTTGGTTTTAATTTTTTGTCATGGAAGATTGATAGAATTGTAGACGGTGGTTCAGACTACGCGGCGTTTATGCAGCAGGTCGGCGTTGCCGATTTATCCTTCGGAGGAGGTGAGCATACTTGTCACAATGCCCTTTTGGTAATTTGACGATTCGACATTACTATTACACTATGTTTGTTCGTTTATCGCAGGTTACCCCGTCTACCATTCGATGTACGATGACTTTGTCTGGATGAGTAAGTTCGGCGATCCTATGTTTCGAAGGCACGTCGCAGGTTTGTGTACTTACGGTGTTCTAACGCTATATTACAATCGTTTCGCGAAAAGTTTTTGAAGTTTCTTTTTCTTTTTTTTTTTTTTTTTTTTTTCCTTCGTATGCACGCATTTGAAGCTGTTATTATTATTTCAAGATCGACAACTTATCATTCACATATAACCAAACAAATCTCAAACGAAAACTTAAGGAAACCTTTTATATAGCAGAAGCAATTGAACTCGGACTCAGATTACTCAATGTATCAACCGAAAAACGAACTATCGCACGCATCCACAACCCAAACCACATTACAGAAGCTAAGTTATATATATTCATTCGGTATGTGTATACTAATTGAATTGATAACAGAAAAGCGTCGAGGACTTGAAAATCGAAGTTTTGAATCGAAGCCTTATTCTCGATCCTTTGGTCGAGTCGATTAACGAACTTGAGAGGGCGTCGACGAAGATAAACAATGAAAGGAAGGTATCGATACGTCGAAATAATTGAATTTTGCATTTAATTCGTTTATTTGATAAGAATCGAATGTTAGGCAATCGAAGGGTCAAAGGGCTGGTTTCAAAGTCGGAGAAATGACCGGAAAGCAAGAGAGGTGAACGATTGGCTAATGATGGCCGAGCGCGCATTTCTTGACGATGACGGGCTTCCGGGAAGACCGTGGTACAAACATTTGGTGCGCTTTTTTTTTTTACTCGATATTATCGACAAACTCTTTTATTTTTCGATGGGCGTAAGTTGTCGTTATTCGAATGTGGTTCGATGCTCGATTTTGGTTTTAGATCTATGCGCGGTCGAAGAAGAATAATTACGAAACGAAGGCACAACATGGGATATGCGATGCACTTGAAGAGGCGAAGCGCCTCGACACTCCCGGCTCGTGGCAATCCGTACAACATGAAATTTGGCATGTCGCTAGAGGTGTGACGCGCGCGTCTTTGCGTCTAGACAAGAACTCACATGAATATGATCGTCTAAAAACAACCTGACTGTATCGGAACAGACATTTGCTTGTTTCGCTCACTTATAATTATTATTAGTTTTTACTATTGGTTATTTTCTCTACTTTCAATATCAAAGTCTAATCGATTATGCGATTTTTATTAAGTGCAAAAATAATTTTATGTTATATTAATCATGAATTTTTAGATAGAAATTAGAACATTATTCATAGTTATTAAGTAAACAATTGGCTGCGAGTGCGTACATTATTAAAAAAAATAATGATATTGAAAAATACACTCAGTATGTTTTTTTCTTAAAAGTTTCTTTTTCAAACCAAAATATAAAACAAATATACTCGATATATTTTAAATAAAACAAAAAATTTAGATGAATGAGAAAGATATACTCCCTCTGTCCCATTGAGTTGTCATAACTAAGTTACCATACGTAACATAATAAATACTTTTCCACTTTACACTATATTAATTTTATATTACACAATACATATTTTTGTCTTTTTACTACAATCTATTATAATATTAATATTCGAAAATCTATCTGCAAAAAATAAACGGCAATCTTGTATCGAAACTGAAGAAGTATATTATTATTTTTATTTAAGTGATGTAATGAAGTAAAATACTAGTATAATATATACTTATTAAAAATTAATTATTTTTAATTTCTGAAATATTAATAAAACAAAAAGAAATGATGCTTAGGTATACTATTTAATATGACGTAAGCAAACAAACTCATAAATATTTATTTATTTATTTTAATCAAACTACGCAACTCATGCTGAAATGTATTACAAGAATCCACTATAAGAACCCAGCAATCCTCCGAATCGTCGCCAAAGTTCTCTCCGCCCTCTTTGCCCTCGTCAGATTTCATCTCCGACTGCGGCGGCATCTGTGCGGAACTCTTAGCTGGAGTAGAGGTTGTTGTTTAACTTTGTGGAATGTGTTAATTTTGGTCCTGAATGATCATCAATTGTTGTGTAAACCCAGGAATCTAATTTATTTTCTACGTTTGCTTATCGTTCATCCTTTTCTGCCAATTGCGTGCTTTACTCGGATAGTTTTCAAACGTTTGGTACTAAATTACGCTGCGATTCTGCTTACGTTGTGTTAGAATTTGAATTTGTGCTCCGAGTAATGCTGGATTGTGCGGTGATTCTGTGTTGTTCTACTGTTTGCGTTTTTGAAATTTTCTCGTCTCATCTACCTGTTTGTGAAGTTCATGCTTGTGAGTTTATGGAACTGTGCTATGATTTGGTTGGAGTGATTTTTTTTTCAAAATTTGGTGAAGTTCTGTATCTAGAAAGAGCATTGATTTTGGATTTGTGTTTTGTCACTTTAAAAGATGTTATTAGAATTTCATTAGAGTTGAAAATGGGAGGGGTTTTCTAGATTGAGCTGAGTTTGCATATATGAGACTCTTATCATTGAGTTTTCGGTCATTATGCTCGATTTAAGTCCATTTGTCAAGGTGCCATTGGCCACAACCTCATCATTCTTTTATGGAAAATCGGCCAAGTAAGTGTTCGCATTGGTGGATTTGGGTAATGTCAAGGTGTTCCAGAAACTGAATTCACTTTTTGTCGTATGATCTGTAGATTTGGATTCAACGAATATGCGGACATGTGTTATGTGTGTGGTAGCCACATTGAATTCCTCGAATGTGCATTTACTTTTGTCGTATTTTGGTCAACATTCGAGAAGTTTGTGTTCATTAAATGAGCCCTAATATGCAGAATTTTCGTAATACATACGTGGCAGTATAGTCATTTGCAAAAGCAGAAGCTGATATTGGTTCCATGGAGAATATAACGAACGAGACTCAGGATGCCTATATCCAAAATTACGAAACAGTTATGCAACATCTGTTTACTAAATTCCAGAAGGAAGCTGAGGAATTGGAAAATGCTCTTGAGTATTTAAAAAAGCTTCGAGAAATGCTCGTTGTACTGGATAACTTGAAAAAAGGGCTTGATAGATTGAGGTGAGTAGTATACGCTTTTGATGTGCCTATTTTTCTAATCGAGTATCGCCTTAATAGTATCGTGTATTAGAATGGTGCTGTATTTCTGGGCATATGTTTGTTTGCATAGTTCATGTTGTAAGTATTTGCACATCTTTTTGATATCGAACAATTATCAATTAGCGTGAATGCCTAAAACTGTGTGAATGACTAAATAACGATTAGCGTTTTCTTGAAGTTCGTTTTCATTAGAATGCTGTTTAACTATCTCTCCCAAAATGAAAGAATAAATCAGATTTCTGTAGTGTTACATTGTTTGAAAATTCTAGTGGTAAATTAGTCGTCCAATCTTGGTTTCTCCAAAGACGTGGATTGTTTATCCATCCTTCAAAACTATTTTGTTTCCTTTTGTTGTACTTGTCTTATATATATATATATATATTTATATATACGACGAGCTGTTTATGGTAGTGATTGGGGTTAATTAGCACCATGCTGATTAGCCTCCACCAGCACAACACATAACACATGAATACTGTTTTAACATGTGTTGTGTATATCACTAGTATGCATGTAAGTTATATATTACTATCTCTGTCAGGCTTTAATGTCTTATTTATTTTTTGCGTGTTGATTTTTCAATATTAATTATTATATGAAAATGTAGTATAAATCAAGAAAAAATGACAAAAACACTTCTGTCAGTGTCTTATAATACTATTATAATGATATTTGTGCAAAAATTTATACAAATATAAGAATATTTTTAATATTAAGTACAATGACGCAAAAGTAAATAAAATCCTTATATTTATCTTGTGTTAACATGTGATATATACTGAAACCAATGGTGACATGTGCTATCAGTTCATTTGCTGCTGCATCATATTATATTGAACATGATGAAGGCCTAAAAGCAAAAAAAGTAGAACAATTGGAGCTTTTGGAGAAAGATCTGATGTCCAATGCCGATGAACTTGAAAAGCTAGGCTTCGAGCTGTTAGATGCGGAGAAAAGAGCCGGCGGTAATTCTTTCTTTCCATTTATTCTTGTTCTTAATATCATCATCTTGAACTAATCCATTTTAGTTTAACCCGACTCCCTTTTCCTCCATCTATGCAGCTCCACCATTGTTTGGCGATGATTCTATGGGAGGATCGAACGTCTCCCAACCTCAGTAAGCATTTATTTCGGATGTCCTAATATGATGTTAAAGAAGAGGATGAGTAGTTTGAGAATCCGTACCGCAATGTCGATCGTGTTTCGTGTTTTGGCAAAACTGTTTATGGGCTGCTACTTTAAGTAGCTTTGTGTGTTTTATTTAGACTTTCTTTGGTGATGTGCCTGTGCCATTGTTGTTTCTGTAAGATGTGTCAATTGTGTGAACAAAGGATTTTTATCCAAGTAACTTATGTCTAGCTTGTTTTATGGTGGTTTTAGTTGGTGATTTTGTTTTTATTTTTTTGTGGTCGCAGCAGTTTGGATGTAATGTTTTATGATAGTAAATTGGGTAATTTTATCAATAATTACTGTGATTGAATAATAAAAAAGAAAAAATAATTGTGGAGGTTAAGAAAGCTTGCATTTTTGTTGGTTTCAAATTGTTTTTAAATGTACAAATATAGTCAACTGAGATTGTTTAGTATTTTTTCTATAAGGTATTTTTTGTCCGTCACATATAAAAGATTGTGTTCATAATATGAGAGATGATATTTTGTTAGAATTATTACTTTTTTGGAAAAGCTTACGTATTTAGTTGGATGAATACATTCTATTATGTCATTCATTCATTTTATTTATAAAGTAATTTTTGTAGCATAAAGTTTATAAAGAAAATCTCTCTTTCTTTTCTTCTTTAAAATGGCAACAATATATTATTATGCAAATGTCTTTTGGAGATGAATATTCTGTCTAATTTTATAAATAAATGAAAAAAAGTTATTGATATTATCTATTTTATTTTTTATTAATAAATAATTACTATATTAAAATTTTCATAATATATGTGTAGGTTTTTTTTAAATTTGATGTTGGATGCTAGTTAAATTTCTTTTTTTTACAATATATTTTTTTGTGAAAGATAAATTGTATTTTGTTGAAGAGCATTGCATAATAAGCAAATTAAAACTAAACTCTATGTTTTTACCATATAAAGATTCTATTTATATTGATATTTTTAGATTATTATCAATATTATTTCATCATTAATAATTCTTTTTTCAGATAAAACAGTATTAAATCCCTCGTTATATATGAAAATTGCATTAAAACTGTATTGTTTAACAATTACTTCAATTTCTTTATAGTTTTATAAAACATATATTCAATCCCTTCTGCCGTTATTAAAGGATTGTTTATATATACACTTTAAACTGCAAAAAAAATTCACAAATTTTATAGCTGCAAAATATACTGCAAGGGCATCTTTAATCATACTCCATATTTGGTGTTTGGTGCACAAAATGGAGTTGAAATGCTCCAATGCACCCCAAATTTGGTGTTAGCACCGTAGCAATGCATTTTTGGAGTTGTGGTGTGTTTTTTTTTTTTTTTTTTTATATAAATAAATTTAAAATTTTTGTATATTAATTCTTATTTTTTATTTTCTAATTTTTTTATAGATAATATTAATTATAGATATAAAAAGTGATTTAAAATAATATACTATTTGAAATAGGATAAACTGTTTTTTTTAGTCCCGTAACTGGACTCCTTTATCATTTTAGTCTTGTAAGTGGAGCCTATCGTAAACTAGTCCCATAAGTAAAAATTTTTCGCTGTTTTAGTCCTCCGGCGCCGGAGATGCCCGCGTGGCTCGCCGGAGGTGACGTGTCCACCAGGTGTCGCTGACTTGGCGGACACGTGGATTTTTTTATTTTTTTTTCATTTTTTAAATTTTTTTTTAAAACTTATTTTTAATTTATTTTAAATTTTATTTGTATTTTTTTATTTGGTCCAATTAAAAAAAATTTAAAAAAATAATAAAATAAATCCACGTGTCCGCCACCTGGCGGACACGTCACCTCCGGCGAGTCACGCGAGCGTCTCCGGCGCCGGAGGACTAAAATAGCGAAAATTTTTCACTTATGGGACTAGTTTGCGACAGACTCCACTTACAGAACTAAAATGATAAAGGGACCAGTTACAGGACTAAAAAAAAAAAATTTACCCTTTGAAATATATATATTTTTAATTAGAAAATAGAATAAAAATAATGTAACAATTGCAATTTTTTAAGTTAAACTATATAAATAGAGGTTGTGAGTTGACGATGGTCTAACAAATACATTATATTTTATAAAATTATAAAAGAATCGAAAGCAATTTTTTAAACTATAGAGATTTCACGTCATTTTATAAACTAAACTAATGTTATTTTGCCTTTATTAAGAGAATAATATATTAAGATATTCTCTTTTACAAATATTTTATTTTTTTTATTATTTTTACAAATTAAAACCATCAATTTTTTTAATACACCAACTTTTCTTGTGAATGGACAAGAGTGCTAAAATTTCAAGCAATGAGTAGTGGTTTGTTTGGCCGTCATTTAAAATTATTTGAATTTTTATTTATATAAGATTTTGATAACATATTTTTGTGTGAAAAATAATAAATATGGTCTACAATGTGAAAATACCAACCCTTAAAATTACTCTTTAAAAATAATAATTTCAGCTAATATTGAGCTGAATTGATAATTAAAAACTAAAATTCAACTAATTTAAATTATGATTATACTAATAGGCCCAAAATAAAGTGTGTTTGTTGTATATTTGTTTTGTGAAATAATTTAAAAGATAATATTTTTTTTAATGTGAAATGAAAAATTATATATAAAAAATATAAAAATAATAAATATATGTAAATTAATATTTTTTAAGAGAAAGTCATACCCATTTCATATTTGGATTCAGATTTCGGAAAAACCCGTTGGGATACCCATTTCATATTTGGATTCGGATTTCGGATACGCAGTTTTTGCAACAAAAAACCCGTTGGGGTACCCGATTGCTTCTTCTTCCTCGCGTCCTCCTCTTCGGCCCTCTTCTTCTTGTCAGGCGACGGCGGTTGGGCAGTTGTGCTTGGCCTTTTCTTTTCTTTTATTCTCTTTCTCCTCCGTCACTTCGTCGGCCATTCGCATCTCTGTGAGTTGGAGTTATTTATTTGCTTTTGCTTTTAATTTTAATTTTTTCTTCATAGGTATGGATCTTTTGCATTAAACATAAAATTGATAAAAGGCATTGCAATTGCCATCAATAACTCCAACTGTACTCCTCTAACCAGAAATGCATTCCGTGCTTTATGATTACGATACAGAAACAACACAAGATGCAGTCGATGTGCCTGTTCATTATATATATATATATATATACATATATATGCACACAAACACATTATGATAGAAGTATGGGTTAGGAATTCTAGTGCAGAATGGTGGTTAAAATGGTGGACTGTCGGTTTGATTTGTGTGAATTGATCGGTGAAACTTGCTGTTGATTTTTATTAGTACACGCTAAGTCTGCACCAAAGGTGTTCGACAAAATGCCCCTGAGGAATTTGATGAAAACCTTTTTGTGCTTTCTAGTGAGAAATGACAATGTGGTTAAACTAATGTCCAAAGGTTGCTGTGTTTGAGTTTTCTATTTGAATTTTTATCTAAATGTATTTTAATTTTAATGTGATGCTATGTAAAAAAATAATACTATATTTTTATTGGTAATATAGCTGCTTGAATAGAAAAATAAAAAGAATTGATTTTGAAATCAGAACTTCACATCCCTGTGCTTGTCTAATATGCATAGTTTTAGATATTTTTATTGTGACGTCGGAGAATGAGTTTTTGTGCATTTTCGTTGAAATTTATATGTTTTTGTTGACTGTTCTTATTAGGTGTGTATATTGTACTTCTTCCGTTCCGCTAAAGATGAAGCTTTTTGTTAGGAACACAACAGTATTTTAGATAGTGTAGTTATTAACTTATTAATAATAAGTTAAAATAATATTTTATTATCTTTTATATGTGTAGTGTTGTTGGTATTTTAAAGATTTTTAGAATTATATCTCAATAAAATATATGCAATATAAATATTATTTTGTAGACAATAAAATTTTATATAATACAGATGAATAAAAAAATATATTTATTTATTTATCATTATCATAAATTAGTTTTATAAAAAATGAGGAGTTTTAAAGTTAAATAAAAATATTTGTTAATTGAGGAGAGAGATAGAAATGTTATAAGTTTAATTAAATTAATTTATATTTGTTAAGTATTTTAAGAGTCATAAACTTACCAAAAATGGAAAGTGGTCATCTTTTGTGGAACTTACAAAAAGAAAATGGGATCATTTGTGGCGGCGGGACGGAAAGAGTATATTTTTTGTAATATTTTTCGGAATTTTATGGAATAAAACACTAAACGAACACCTTGTATAGGATTGCAAATGGTTAGGCTTGTTATATACTCGGTAAATCTACGAATTAACAATGACAGTAAAGAATTTAACACTCCCTCGTCGCTATGCACTTCCTTGCTTGCGAATTTCTACGACATACTTTCTCGTTTGTGAAATTTATTTTCACTTTTACTTTTAGTCTATCCGTTAAATTTACGTAATTATTAAGCTTAGAAATCAACATTTAATTATTATTTTCCATTCAACACTTATTTATAATAAATGTCGCTCTTTTTATTACTTCATCTCTCTTCATTTTCTTAATTTTAACTAAATTTTCAAAAATACCTTCAATTACCTTTTCACTTTTTTCACTTTTCCAACAAAATATTCTTTTTTTAATCTTGCGTGACACAAATGTATAAAATTTTACCGGACGGAGAGAGTACTAGACACTGACTGGATTTTTACAGGAGCGCCATGTGTGTGAGATGGCCGCGGCTATTATCGCCGACTCATCTCTCACAGCTTATACGTCGACAGAAGAATCCATTGACAGCTTTGGATCTCTTCAACGAAGCTCAAACCAGATATCCGAGCTACCGGCATAATGGCCCTGTCTATGCCACAATGATCAACATCTTGCGAAGCTCGGGCCGGATTATTGAAATGAAAGAAGTTGTTAATCGAATGAAAGAAGATCTATGCCCGTGCCGGGATTCTGTCATCGCTGGCGTAATCGAGACGTACATGGATGCCGGCATGGTCGAAGATGCGATCTCTCTGTTCAAGAGTCTTCCCGAGTTTAATTGTGTCAACTACACACGATCTTTCCACACGTTGTTGGAGAAGTTGGTTCGAGATTCCAAGCTCGAAACTTGTTGCCAATTGTTTGTCGAGCATTGCCGCGGTTGGGAAATTAGTTCCCGAATGTATTCGTTGAATTTGCTGATGGATGTTCTTTGTCGGATGCGCCGTTCTGATCTTGCTATTCGAGTTTTTCAGGAAATGGGGAATCAGTGGTGCGATCCCGGACGGGAAACCTACCGGATTTTGATGAGGGGTTTGTGTAACGACGGGAGACTTTCCGATGCGACGCAATTGCTGTTCTTGATGTTCGGTAGGATTTCCCGCAAGGGTTGCGGCGCCGACGTTTCGATATATCGAATGCTACTCGAGGCTTTGTGCGACAACGGGGACGTCGACGAGGCTGTGGAAATTCTCGGGAAGATCTTGCGGAGAGGTCTTCGGGTCCCGAAACGATACTTCAAGCAGCTCGATAAAACCCAATTTCGTGTCGAAGACGTGAAATCTTTGATCAACGAGGCTTTGATTCGGGGCGGAGTTCCGAGCTCGGACAGTTACCGAGCAATGGCGGTCGATCTCTACTCCGAAGGAAATATCGTCGGCGGCGACAACGTGCTCGACGAAATGCGGGAAAAGGGCTTCCGATCGTCGCCGCAGATATTCGAAGCTAAGATCGCCGCGTTATTTGCCGCAGGCGAGGTCGATCGAGCGGTCGAATGTGTTCGAAACGACATGATAGAGAACGGGTGCGTTCCGACCGTGCGGGTTCACAATGCCGTCGTGAAAGGGCTGTGCGATGCGGGAGAATCCGCTCGGGCGGTTCGATACTTCGGGACGATGTCGAAGCAAGTCGGGATCGTTCCTGACAGGGAAACGTACGTCTATTTGGTCGATGGATTGTGCTGCGACGGCGACTACGCGGAAGCGAGTCGAGTGATGGATAAGATGGTGATGAGTTCGTTCTGGCCGAGCGACGAGATGTATACGAAAGTTATTCGCGGGCTTTGCTCGACGGGGAAGACTTTTACGGCGGCGGTGTTTCTGGAGGAGATGATCGGGCAAGGTAAGATTCCGGCAGCGTCCGTGTGGTGTTCGTTGGTGTCGTCTGTTGTTTGTCGTGAGGTTTTGTGGAAAGAGGTTTTGTTTGTGACATTACGAGAGTTGGAAAATTAGGTATGAACATTGTTGATACCATGAAAAATAAGATGAACAAGAAAATATATATTAAACTAATTATGCAATGGCAGGTAAAATTTGAAAATATTGAGAGTTCGAATCTGCGATTTGACCATCACAATTTCATCCAAACACACTATTATCTTCTTGTCTACTTGCAATGTGTATATTTTATTTTTCAATAAATTTTACAACGCAAATGATAAATATATAGTATTGTAAGCCAATTGGGGAAATATTATGGCTCTTCCCTCGGATGAATTGTGTTAAAAGTATTAAAGAATATTATTTTAAATTAAATGTTTGATTTTTTTTTGACTTTTTGTAATAAATGTCTTTTTATTTATTTATTTATTTATTTTTTAATGAATGATATTGAGAATTGTATAAATGAATAAATACTCCTTCCGTCCATGTTCTACTGTCCTATTTGATATTTATATACATTTTTTTAGACAATTAGGATTTCTGTTTTAAAAATGACACATTTGTTTTTAATTTTGTGTATAGAAAAGAAAAAGAATAAATAAAATAAAGATAAAAAAAAAAAAAAACAAATTGTGTATAAAAATAAAAAAGAAGACAATAATTGTTGGGGAAAATAGGACTTTAATTTGTAGGTGAAGATGATATTATTTTTGGGGAATGATATTTTAAAAAATTTGTTGCACGAACATACCCTATTATGATAGATCTCAATGATGATATTTGTGGTTTGAAATCGAGTTGAAATGAAGTGTTATTTGAATTTTTGTTTAAATAATATTTTGGTATGAATTTTGTGAAAAATAAAAATAAAAAATTACATAATAAATCAATGTTAATTTTTATTTTAAATAGTAAAAATAATAAACTCAAAATATTTAAATGAAATAAAATAAAAATAAAACAAACCCTAATATTGTAAACCTCGTGGAGCTTCTTGATTGGCCACTGTACGAAGGGAACGGGTTTGTTACCGTGCAGTTAAAATGCGCTTGTTTATATAAGGAAGGTCAACATTAACCTATTATTATTAATCGCGAAGAATTTCTGGTAGAACACTTGTGTTCGATTCGAGGAGTCACATTTCGATTCCGCATCTCCAAATGGCTGAGGTAAAGCGATACAAGACGATTTCCGTATCTTGATTTGATGCTGCTGCTATTGTGTTTTTAACATTTCTGCTGGAATCGAATTCGAATTTGCTGTTGGTCGGAGTAAAGCAATTGTGTGTCGTGAAATGATCGAATCCCCTAAATGAATTTTATCTGTGGTTCGTGTTTTTTTTTTTTTTTTTTTTTGTCATTTGGGATATATGATTTTGCAATTTATGTCTCGGCTGTGTGTTTTGGATTTAGGGTGATGTGGATCGAAAGGTGTTGATTTTTCTATTTTGTTTTGGTATGGATGAAAGGTCAATGACTTGTGGTTTTTTGCAGAATCTATGTTTGTTCTGATTCTCGTTAACGTTCATTGGCAGATTGAATTGAAAACCGCCCCTGCTGATGTTCGGTTCCCTACCACCAATCAAACTCGGCATTGCTTCACTCGTTACATAGAGTATCACAGGTTAGTTATAATGTTATTTGGTTTATTTTATTTGTTTTGATGATGGCAAGGTTGCTACAACTGTGAACATTTTGTATTGATCTTTGTGGTTCAGAAATCACAAGGTGCTTTTGAGACTAAGTAATGGTGTTTGTTGTTTAATGTTTTGGAATTAAATTGGAAGACCCTACAATGGTGTTAAACTGTTAAAGCTCATTTATTCGACATGTTAATTGTATTGGACATTGGTTTTGAATATGTTAGAATTTAGAATGTAAGTGTTGTTGAGGATTGGTAGCAATTCTTTGTCTCTTTGGAGATAAAATTGTGGTTTGAAACATTATCCGGTGATATTATTATAGATTCATAATTTAGTTTGTGATGATGGATCCACTGAATGAATTACTAAACTATACTATTTAGTTAATTTGATATTGAAAGTGATGTAGATGGAGGGTCAGTATTCTTTAAAATTGATTATTAATCTTTATTGTATCATCTTTGATATCTATTCGACACAATTGAGCAATTTGTATTCTCTGTAGTTTTATATTATTGTGCTTTTCTTTGAAATCTTTAGTTACTTTATCATAAACTTGTTTGGTATTGTCTAATATATATTGGCAATATGTGGTGATGGAACAATGTGCTGATACTATTGTTGATATTGGGATTTTTAACCTTGCAAACAATACAAGGTTTTCTAGTTTGGTAATCAAAATCTTGCCTATGTATGCGATATTTATCTGGAAAAGTTTAGTACTTAAACTTAAGAATTCCTTTATTCAACGACTGCAATGAAGTTCTGTTATGTATTTAAGCCTTGCTAAAAGAATGAGACCTATATAGGCATTATTTTTTATTTTGTTTTTCCTTTCACCAGAAAGATGGGTTGATCTAATGTTCCAGGAGCTTCTTGATGTATATTTTTCATTTTAGAGGTGTTTGCATGAACAAAGATCCTCAAGTTCAGTTTTCTCTGTAACCTTTTAGGCTTAAGAATCACATTAAAATTGAACAGCAGCACATGAATGATTATTATTGTGTATATGTTTTCTTGTTTGTTTTACCTTGACTTCTATATCGATCCCCTTTAATTCTTAACTACCTTGTTTTGTACGTTAAGGTGCACTGCTGCTAAGGGTGAAGGGGCAGGTGATTGTGAGAAATTTGCAAAATATTATAGATCACTTTGCCCCGGTGAATGGGTAAGTCTCGACTGCTCCTATCCCATCCTACAAAGGCTCTTTCTACAATTTGTTTAAAAAGATGCTAGTTTTGAAGTCTTGAAATACATAAATTTTTATGCTTTTGTTTTCCTTTTTATAAAAAGCATTGCTCTTAATGTAACATTCTTCGGATGGATCAAATTCGTTGTGCAGGTTGAGAAGTGGAACGAGCAAAGGGAGAACGGAACCTTCCCTGGCCCCCTCTAATTCAGAGACACAAAAACCTTTGATAAGGTATTATTTGAAGTTTGAACATATATTATCTTAAAATGTGCCATGATTGTGAATGGATCTTGTTTTAGTGCAGAAATATGAGTTGGGGTTGGTTTTGTTGGCATTTTGTATTATTTTGTTGATGGCTATGGTTTGACACAGGACATTGTTGAGGTGCCTTCATGGAGGTTTCATAATTCTGGACCTTTAGCTTTCCTGGTTTCTTTCTTTATATTTTGCAAGATGGATGTTTATGGACCAAGTCTTGCTCGGGTTGTTTCAATCCAAGAGTCCATCAAAACAACATTGATAGAAAATAATGATAGTTCTGAGGTGGATTATAATGGGTTTGGTTTGTATTTTATATTTAAATAGTGATTGAACGTAATATTTTGTGGTGGTTGATTAGTGATCATTGTACGATAACAGTATATACAATGCATACCATAATTGATACGAATAGAAGATTGTATGTTAAAAATAACATAAATATTGATAGCATATAATAAAAAACACTACTCGCATTATTCACGATAGATAATTTATTTATTTTTTCATAAATATTATATTAAAATACTATTTAATAAAAATAAAAAAAAATGTAAAATGGATCTTAGCCTTATAGTCTAAATGGATCTTTTCCTTGTCTAAATTGAAGTAGAGTGTCCCTCTTGAAAGTTTCATACGCGTGTGTGGCTAAAATATTATTTTGCTAAGTTCATGAGTTGACTCATTTAAATTTTTAAGTCTTTGATTATAACGTTCTAATAAGTTATTATTATTATTATTTTGTAATTATATCATCCACTTGATGACTTTTCTTTAGATGAATTAAAAATGATGTATCATTTGGATATTATATTTAGGTGTATATATATATTTGTGACGATGGCTTTAGTTTATACAGTTGAATTTGCATAGCTTGACCATTTGACATATGATCTATTTATAAATTATATATTACACAATAGCGGATATTAAAATGAAATAGGAGTATATTGGACATTGATTCTTGGGACGTGTTTGGTATGACCATAAATATGAAACCTGATGATGCAAGGAAATGGAGGCAGGATGAGCCCCTAAATGCTGCACGCAATTCCTCACCCAAACAAACAAACAAACAAATAATAATAATAATAATAATAATACACGTGTAAAGACGAGGCACACGTACGCGGCAATGACTTAAAAAAACCAAACTACAATTTGTCAAACCAAACTTTACTTAAATCATCCAATGCCGTCACTTCACAACCAAACCCTAATTTTTCTTCGGAAAATTTTAGCAATTATTAATTGAAAGAGAGAAATTTGAAGATTATGAAAGGAACTTCACCTTTTTTTTAAAAAAAAAAAAAATTAAAAAAATAAAATAAAGTAAGAACTTGAATAATTAATTAACAAGGAAATGCAATTTTAAATAATCACGCATATACTTTTGAATATTTTGGTTACTCAAGTAAGTTTAATTTGAATTTGTGTTCTTACTTCTTGTGGAAATTTTTAGTAAATGTAATATTTGGTATCAATATACATGCCATATGTGTGTAATTTTTATAAGAAACTGTAGTGATTATACATAAGTAAAATTATTACAGGTAATTATATATATATATATATATTCATATACTGATTTATTGATTATGATTAATTAACACCCTAATTATATTTTACAAAAAATTGAGTACAAAATTGAATAAAAGAGGTAATATATATTATTGTCAATTACGTATTACTCTTTTTAGTCAAGAAATAAAATCACAAAACAAATCAAAATGAATTTAGTGGTGATAGATAACAATAAAGTTGTTGTCTTTTATTTTTTATTTTTCTACTTCCTACCACATTATTTTATAATTTCCAATAAAAAATAAAAATATAGTACTAATTATATATGCAAAACATTATACTTAATAACTATTTTGACCTAAAAAAAACCCTATGATTGCTAACTATATGCAAGTGTTTTTAAATAATCTAAATAAATATTTTATTATCAGATTAGAGAAATTATAGTGTACTTTTTATTATTTTTTTTTGTAGAAAATTAAAATTCCAAACAGAAATATATATCTAGTAATTTCCAAAAAGATTTTATATAGAAAGTAAGAATTAAATAAAAAGAAAAAATGAATCATATTACAAAAATAATTTTAAAAATTATGGCAATTAAGTAAATATTTTCAACTCAAAATATTTAGAAAGGAAAAAAAAAAAAAATTAACATACCTACCATTTAAAAATTTGTGTTAAAAAGTTAGAAATTTTTTGAGATTTGGGATTAATTATAGAAATCTTTAACGTAGTATAAATAAATATTTTATATAAAGTTTCGAATAAAAATGTAATTCAAATATAAATCACAATCTTATGGTCTTAACAAATAATACTCCAATATGTTTACCTCATAATAGTAATAAAAATAACATTTCAATTTATATAAACATATAAAAATAAAAAATTCAAGATAAAAATGTGAGCTTTTAACTAGAGAATTTTTTAATTCTTATATATAGATTATCTAAATAATATAAATTATTATTATTATTTTAATATACTATATATATATATTTCTAATTAATGATTATTCTATGGAAAATTAAAATAAAGATTTTGTTCGTTTAATATTTTTTTTATAACAAAATTGAATGTAAAATATAAAGAATCGTTTTAATTTTTATAAAACAAATAAAATATATATTAAAAATCATATAAAAGAATATTGAACAAACAAATTCACATAAAATAACGACACAAAAATAATTTTAATTTTTTTTTTTTTTTTTTTTATTTTTGTATATTTTTTATTTAGATTTTATTATATTTATATTATAAAATAATAATAAAAGTATTTTTTATTATTTTTATTAAAATTATATTTTAATATAATAATTAATATTTAAATATAATCTTTTTGGATGGACGAAGGAATAATATTTTTGAAAAAATTGTTTTGGATGAATACTAAAAAGTCGTGGGAATCTTTAAATCAAACACACCTAGCAAGTTAGCATGGGCTACGACAGAGTCACAGACGGTGACGGTAAAACCGTGACAGGCACACTGTGAGATAGGCAGATCACGGTTACCCAAAAGTTGACCGTTATATAAGCAAGCGAGTATAAGAAAACTTCCCACCGCACACGAACACACCCACACGGCAGCGCGTCGTTTCGCGTCGGTTTCCTCCAAAACGTTTCTCACTTCTCACTATAAAATCCGAACCAAAACCCGCCTGCAAATCCGCCAGAGCCTCGCCGGAAACTCCGATTCCTCCTCGATTCACAGCATTATTGCTTCGATTTTGTTTGTTTTGCGTACGAATCGGAAATGGTGCGTTTGAGCAACAATTTGTTAGGGATTCTGAACATAATCACGCTGCTGCTGTCGATTCCGATCATCGGCGGCGGAATATGGTTGTCGAAGCAAGGGAACACCGAGTGCGAGCGGTTCCTCGATAAACCGGTGATCGCGTTGGGCGTGTTCGTTCTGTTGGTCTCCATAGCCGGATTGGTTGGCTCCTGCTGCAGAGTGACGTGGCTTCTGTGGATTTATCTACTCGTCATGTTCCTGTTGATTTTGCTGTTGTTCTGTTTCACGATTTTCGCGTTCGTCGTCACCAATAAGGGCGCTGGTGATGCGCTTTCCGGTAAAGGTTATAAGGAGTACAGGCTTGGAGAATATTCCAATTGGTTACAGAAGAGAGTCAATAAGAACTGGAACAAGATCAGCAGTTGTTTGAAGGATAGTAAGGTTTGCCAGAGGCTGCTTCAGGATCGGTCAACGCCTGCGGAGAAGTTTTTCAGTGAACATCTCTCATCTCTTCAGGTACGTATTTGCCTTCAGATTTGTGAATGTTTAATCGATTTATTGTTTTTTGTGTAGTTTCATCCATTACTACGGTTTCGATTCTCGATTTATGTTTGAGAATCTCTGTGTTCTTCAAGATCGGAAACCGCTGTGCTTTTAGATCTGGAACGGTTACCTTACGTCCTCTGTTCGTGCAATGCAATTTCTGTCGTCTCGATTAACTGAAAATCGATTATTCTTAACAACGTTTTTTTGATCGGAGAACAGAAGGTGAAAGTTTCAGTAATGATGCTTCACTTTTGGTTAATCATTTTTTTTATTTTGAAAAGCAACTTTGCTGCCATATCAAACAAAACACTATTTTCGAAAGTGATTGACTTCCAACTTTAATCTTCTTTTGGTCTGGATGAATTCTCAGTTTCTGTTTCCATTTATGCTGTTTCTCTTCACTGTTCTTAGTGCTAGTGAAAAAGTTTAGTGCCTTTATGCTGATTTTTCGCTGTGGCAGCCATTAAAAAAGTATCTGATTTTGCTGTTGGATCTAAACTTTTTGAACCAAAATCTAGATCGTGATTGAATTTGATGTTGTATACAAAATGCATGGAAAAATGATAAACTATAGCAACTTCCATAGCTGAAATTTCAAGATCTTCAAGTTCCATTAGTACATTCATTGTGCACAAAATTGAAGATCTTTGCTACAATGGATGATACTATATACACATATATATATCAATTCTTTTTCATTGCTGCTGCTACTAAGAAATCTGCCCTTAATTCTCTTAATTGATCAAACCTTTTTCATTTTTTGACAGTCGGGGTGCTGCAAGCCATCGAATGACTGCAACTTCGAATACGTCAGCCCCACAAATTGGAGAGAAGGCGCGAATTCAACTAAGCAAAATAACAAAGACTGCAATGTATGGAGCAACGAGGCGGGCACATTGTGCTACGGCTGCGACTCGTGCAAAGCAGGGCTGCTCGATAACATCAAGAGCGACTGGAAAAGGGTGGCCGTCGTAAACATCATCTTCCTTATCTTCCTGATCATCGTCTACTCAGTCGGCTGCTGCGCCTTCAGGAACAACAGGGAGGATAATACCTGGAAACGATACCCATGATCGTCGTCGCCGGTAATCGACATTGCTCGTCGATTTTCTTTTTATTTTTTTGGCTTTTTGTTTTTTGGTAATTTGATCTTCTTTACACAACCTTCATGTTTATGTTTATGTTTGTGTTCTTCTCTTAGGGTGTACAGAATATTTACCCTGTCGTTTTTTAATCTGAGCACCATTAGAGTATATATATATATATATATATATATGAAGACCATATTCGTTATATATATATATAATAATAGATTGTTATTTTCTGCAGTTTATTTTGTAATAAAATAGGCATTTGTTTTTATAACTTGGATTAAATTTATTTTATTTTGGTTATATATTGTATTTGTTTTGGTATTTTATTGGAAGGAGGAAAACCCAGTGCTAAGTAGAGTTGGGTAGATTCGTGTCCGGGTCAAATTATTCAATCTTAATCCGATCGTGTTGGTCTGTATACACAAATTTCTTGATTCAAATTAAATAATTTTTTATTATGTTAGGTTTTATTAGTTTGAGCCTAAATTAGGTTGAACTTACTTTAAATTAATTTATGAGAAAATTATTAAATTATGATTATTTTATATATAATAAATATATATTAATCAATATTAATATATTATAATCGGGTTGTCGTGTCGGATTCGAATTGAGAGCTTTAACTCTAACTCGACTTGTTTATTATTGTGTCGAGTTCGTGTTAACCTATAATCCAATTATTTCGTGTCGGATAGTATCGGATCAGTTTTTGCCGGCTTTAGTACTAAGCTACCAGTGGGGAAAGTCACCTTTTTAAGTAAGGGCTGGCTGGTTCGAATTGACCTTGTTGGTTACCATATCACATTTGATTATGTATGTATCAAGCATGTTGTCAGATTCTTTGAAGCGGAGGTAATAATAATTTTTTTTTTTTTTTGTAAAAAGGAAAGAGAAAAAAAAAATGAACAAATTAGGGAGTAATATTTTTCTTGAATATCTAATGGAGTATATAATATCATAAAAGAGTATATGAAAAGGTTTGTCTCATCAAATTTTTATTGATATAATTTTTAATATATATATATATATATATTATATTTTATTTTTTAACCGAGAAAATGATAATTATTTTGATACTTAAAATAAAAATACTAAGCAAACACAACTGAGATATTTGATTAATGTTTGTTAACAAAATTAATGTTAATATTAAAAGTTTCAAAAAATATATAAATAAAACTTTACATCAAATACTCGCTGTCCCATATAATTTGTAAGTTTTAAATTATTTTTACTAATACATTTTTTAATTATCTACTAATTATACTTTATCTAAATTCTGCGGAGGATTATATATCTAATGAAATATCACGTCTAATTTATTGCTTGTTTTAACTCTGTGGCCCCTTCATCCACAGATATTTATAAATATCTATTAAAAATTGTAAATTCAAAATAACACCAACTATAAATATCTATTCAATTTTAAATTCAAAATAAGCAGCAAACGCCTTTAAAGTTGTGTAAAAAAATTAATTGTACTTTTGACGAAATTAATTATAATTAATATATAGAGGAAAGGACCACTAACTGCAATTACTGAATTGTTTGGTTGGTGGGAATGAAAGGGTAAAAAGGTGGTGGTTATACCTTCTTCAACTTGTCACTTAAAAAATAAATAAAAAAATAACAACTTGTGACTTAATTATAAATAGATAAATAAAATATCTGACACAAATTTGTGGTGTTTATTTGTGATTCTTTATTCATTTATTATTTATCCTAAATAAATAATTATATGTCGAATAAAGCACAACATTATAAATGAACATTAAATTAGTACAGATGACAATGGGTGTAGTATCTAGGAGTGACAAAAGTAAATCCGATCCGAAAAATCGAACCCGTTCGACCTGAAATTTTTCAGGTTCGGGTTTGAGTATTTCGGGTTTGAAAAATATCGGGTCGATTTGAACCTGAAACGAAAAAAATTTGTGTCGTGTTTCGGGTTGACATGATAACCTGAAATATCAAAATCAGGTTAAGTTTTGAATTTCGTGGTTCAGGTTGACCTGAAATTTTAATTATTATTATTTTAATTTATAATATTTATATTATTTTAAATATAAAATAATATAAAAACTTAAAATAAAAATGATATTTTTAGGCCAATTTAATTTTTTTTAAAAAATTTTCGGGTCTGTTTCGTGTCGTGTTTGTATCGGATTTCGGGTGACCTGAAACTAATTCAGGTCAACCTGAACCCGACCTGAAAGAATTCGTGTCATGTTCGAGTTTAAGGTTTCAGGTCAAATTTCGAGTTCGGATTGACAATTTTGTTGTTATCCTCATGTCTCAACCCGACGCGAACACGATCCAAAAACACAAATTGACACCCCTAGTAGCATCGAGATGGCCCAGTAATTATTAATATTACATAAATAAATATATAATATTAAATTTTAAATAACTACTATGTGATATACTACTTTTTTTTAGGAAAATATTATTATATATTTTTCAGTATTTTTTATAAAGTATCGATCGAACTAATACATGCAAACCAGACCCTATGTTAACGTGGTCAAACTATGCAAATCAACTGTCACTAATGCATTTATATATACTACTATAATTAAAATAAACACACCATTTTTACTTTCATTAAAAAACGAAAAAAAGAAAATGTCATCAAGTTGATAATTACAAAATAGATCAAACTGAATGGAGTCAAATAATATTTAAATAAAAAATAAATATGTACATGATATTTAAAAACATATAAAATGAATAGTGCTAAAACTGATTTAAATACACATGTAAACAAATCCAAGAACAAAAGCTACATAACTAAAATCTCAACTAACTCTTTTGGGGTATTTTCACATATTTCAGCTGTTCATCAAAATTTTCAATCTAAAAAAATATCAAATCAACTATTATTTTTTATTTTTTATATTACATTATAAATGGCGTCATACCTATTTATATCAGGTCATAATACCTATTTATATTACTGCTATTCCAATTTAAAATTTTTACTATTTAAATTCCAATTTAAAATCCAAACCTTCAAACAAACACACACCCTAAATAGGCTTCAACAAAATAATATGCCAACAAAACCAAAACCCCAACTCATCCAAAAGAAAATAAAAAAATAGAACCAAAAAAGCCAAAACCCCAACTCATTTCTTCATTAAAACAAGAACCCCTCATCATCCATTCACAATCATGCCTCATTTTAAGATAATCTATATATATATGTATTCAAATAATACCTTAACATAGTTTGTGTGTCTGAGGTGCCGGCAAACCTATAACAGATGACAACAGTCCCGACCTTACTAGCACCGGCGCTGTACTAATGAGGGCCATGGAAGGTTCCGTTCTCCCTAGGCTTAATCCGATTCTCCCTTGGCTCAATCTGAGTCTCAAGCTACACAACAAATTTGATTCATCCGAGAAAGGAAACGGATGGTTAAGTAAGAATTAAGAACAATAACTTAAAAGCAAAGCTTCTATATGTAGAAAAAACAAATGCATAAAAATTAATGGCTCTATTCTCTCCGAGTCCCCCCTCCCCCTTTTTTGGAAAAATACTTATAATCTACATGTGGTTTGGAATGTCCCTAATGATTTAAAAATTGCATGAAACTCTATTGTATTTTCAAAATATTGCACAAAATCGAAGGAGGGGAGTTTCATGTAATTTTTAGATAATTTTGTGCAATATTTTCTAAAATACAAAATAGTCTCATGCAATTTCTAGATTATAAAGGAATATAGTGCAGACTTTCTAAACTATAAGTGAGTTTTAGTTTTGCCTTATTTTTTTTAAAAACTACTATATACTTCATGATTCTCTATAAAAATAATTCAAGTTTTGATACAAAACACATCCATTCAAGAAGAGAAACGTTGCCTAAAGCAAAGCTTCTATAGGGAGGAATGCAAGCGCATGAAAATTAAATAAATAGCACAAAGAGCCTTTCAGATGGGATAGAAGCAGTACCCATTCAGTCGGGTAAAGTGGATCATAAATGGATAAATTTTCGCCATCACCTGACTCATCACCGTTAGCAGCAGTGGACCTGAACGTACAAAACAAAAGTAGTTAATCACAGAAGAAGAAACTAGGGGATTGGCATAGAAGTCAAGGTAAAACAAACAAGAAAACATATACGCCACAGCAATCGTTCATGCGCTGCTGTTCATTTTTCATGTGATTCCTAAGCCTAAAAGGTTACAAAGAAAACCAAACTTAAGAACCTTTGTTAATGTCAACAGCTCTAAAATGAAAATATGCGTCAAGAAGCTTCTGGAACATTAGGCCAGAATTACATTGCAGTCCTTGGATAAAAGAATTCTCAAGTTTGGCTCAAAACCTTCAGATGATATCACATACATAGAACAAGACTTTGCTAAATCAGACTTAAAATCGAATGCAAAGTTCAAGATCACAATATCAACAAGAGTATCAACATGTACATACGCTCCTTCCCAAGAAGCAGGGGCATCAGCTGCAGGAGGACTTGCTGTGAATTCTAGGGCGGCATATGGATTCATCTCCTCCTCAGAAGCCGCATCGACAACAGAAGGAGGATCAGGCATGCCAAAACTGTTCATATAGCCAACATGTCCAGAGTATGGAGGTGGAGGTGGACCGGGTGGCAGGGGTGAAGCTGCATACATAGAGGAAAAGAAGTTGGGTTTAACTAAGAGGATTAGTTCAATATGAATATATTGCGAGAAGAAAAGAAACAATTACGGCTAACTCTTTTCTTGGCATTAGCCACCTCAGCGCGCAACTTTTCGAGTTCTTCAGCCTTCGAAACCAGGTCTTTCTCCAACATCTTCAATTGTTCTACTTTTTGTGTGTTTAAGCCTTTCTCATGTTCAAATCTCGCGCTTTTACCGTACCATGAATCAACAAAATTTGTAAGGAAGCCAAGAATTATAAAGCTCAATTCACCATTTACAGATTAAAGACGTATACCGCACAACAGAGGGGCAAGATAATAGTTTTAAAGGATGGATGAACAATCCAAGTCTTTAGTTTACAAATTACGACTAGAACTTTCAAACAATGTAACACTACAGAAATCTGATTTATTCTCTCATTTAGCAGAGATAGTAAAACAATTAATACAAACTTCAAAAAAGTAGATATCAATCCCATTCACACAATTTTCGCATTCATACAAGTGATAAAAGACATTTTATACAAAAAATACGTATGTAATAACTTATACATGAATTTCCAGATGCCATACAGATATTCTAATAAGTGATAGAAGTAAAATAATACTCATTGAAAAATATATGCACATCAAAAGTATATACTACTCACCGCAATCTTAGAACCTCTTGTGCCATGTTATCCAGTTCAATGTGTATTTCTGGAAGCTTTTTCAAATCCTCCCGAGCATTTTCCAATTCCTTAGTTGCCTGCTGGTGTTTAGCAGTCAGATCTTGCCTACTTGTTTCCAAACTTTGGGCCTCAATATGGGCTTCCTGAAGCTGTTTCGTTATATTCTCCATGGACCCAATATCAGCTTCTGCTTTTGCAATCTTGTCCAGCAAAATTCGAATTTGAATATCTCCTTCAGTTTGGATGCTTCTGATGTGATCTCTGAGTTTGTCGGCTTCTTGCTGCAAAGCTGCAAGGTCCTGCCTCAAGGCCAAATGGCTAGATGATAATTTATGATTATCTTTGGTCAGTTGTTCGAGTTCTGCTTCTTGGAACCTCAATGTGTTTTCCAAAACTTGAGGAGAAGGAATCGGTTCTATAGGATGAGTTGCATCAGGATGGAACATTCCTGAAGAATGTCTAATGCGATCATCGTATGGTGGTGGGTTATTTCTTCTTGAAGACATGAGGTAAGACTGTTACCTAAAGCTAAAACACACCAAAATCAGCATATTAGCAATATGGAATGAGAGCTAATGTTTGATAAGGATTAGGCAATAAATGAAGCACAACAATGAACAATATCTACATGATTCTAAGTAAGAAATAATACTTCTTGTTTTATCCGAGTTGGAAAGCAGGAAATATTAGTAAAATTATATTAAAAAAAAAAAAAAAAAAAAACCCACCAAATGTACAAAATGATTTTCTAAGATAAGTGGCAACAAATTCACGGTGGTAAAAATCAAACGGTCAACTGTAGGGAGGCAACAATGTCTGTGGAAAAATGTACAAACTCATGTTGTGTGTAAACACTAGTAGGATTAATGATCAAGATTACCAAATAGACTTAAATCGAACATAATGACTGAAAATTAGATAATAATGACCGCCCCCAATATGCAAACTCAATGTATGTATATGTTAAAATCATACTAATATTTATGAATATATCCACAAGAACAAGAAGGAATATTAGTTTATGACCAAAGCCAAATCAAAATCCAACTACAACTACATCAATTGCCTTCTCCTCCAAACCTTCTAGAAGCCTTCGCACACACGTATTTAGATATATGTATGACAATCAACAGCCATAGTCCTGTCCTGTGTGTTGTTACTGTATCCTAATCACTAAACACAAAATGCATTGCTCGACAGAGGACTACTACAATTGGAGTATTAATGGCGATTGCGATACGTTTTCATGTTTAACACAAAAGATTCAAACCTACGAAAATAAAATTAAAATTGAAAGCAATCAACAACTACTTGAACTTACAGAATTGCGAGTTGCCGACGAAATAGCGGAGGAGAAGCAGAAACAAAACAGTCCAAGCACAACTGCCCAGGCACCGACGTCCAACGAGAAGAAGAAAAAGAGGCGATGCAAAGGACGGAGAAGAAAAGGCGCTGAAGCGCGACGACGCAATTCGAAGAAGAACAAACGTAGGTCTGGCCATTTGGGCGTCGTCACTCGTCTGGCCTAAAACCCGATCCGATCAGAATTCGGGCATTTTAAACCCGACCCTAATACAATTTTACAAAAATCCGATTTAATGAAGTATTTTACTTTGGGTATCCGAATCCATATGGAAAAATTGTGCTAATAGGCCCATCCCAAAGGTTGTCTAAACCCTAAATCAGCCCAATGATAACCCAAGCTGGGGCCGGGCCTATTAATGTTGGGCCGGGCCTAATTTGACTTAGTTTAATCAATTAAATACAAAATAAATAATTTTATAAATATATAACAAATTATCGGAACCTAATTGTCACCTAACTTATTATATTAAATTTAAATTTAATTTTATATTAAAAAAATTACATTAACATATATTACATCACCTCAACAAATTTATTTCCCAAAATTGGGTTTGTTTATTTTGTGAAAAAGCTCTAATTTTTTTTTTTTTTAAAAAAAAACTATATTATATGCATTTATTATTGTTTGTGTTTGTTTGGGGGGTTTGGATTTTGAATTGGGATTTAAATAGTAAAAATTTTAAATTTGAGTAATTGTATGATGTGATATAAATAGGTGTTGATGTGATGTTTTGAATGTAAAATTAATTTTTACTATAATATAAAAAATAAAAAATAGGTGTTTGATTTGATGTTTTTTGGGAGAAAAATTTGGATGAATAGTAAAATTTTGTTAAAATTCTACAAACGAACACACTTCTTAATTTTCTATATCCACTTAAAAAAACATCAATTTAAATTATTTCAGAAGTAAACTCTTAAATTCAAAGAAGAAACACATTTTAAACATTTGGTTCAGAGGTTTTTTGAAAATTTTAATTATTTACTAAAATATTTTTTTTTGTCAAAATATTAAATCAAATATTTATTTATTTTATTATATATTATTATACTAAAAAAATTATAAATTTATAATATTACGTGTATTTTTATTAAATCAAATACTATACAATTATAATAAGCATTCAAAATTTACTCTTTAAAATTCAAACAAAAAAAATCAGAATTTCCAAACAAACACACTTTAACTTTAAATTAAAAATATTCTTTAATTTTTTTATTTCCTTAAAAAAGTAAATAAATCACTTTAAAAAAAGTCATTACACTAAAAAAATAAATTTTATATTAAAAACATTATACAAATACTTATTTATAAAAATCATCTATAATAAATCAAATTTTATTATTTTTAATCCTCAACCCTATTATTTAAATACGTCAACAATTTCACACTTCTGGATCAAAATCCTTTCTTCTCTATTTTCATTAAGCCCAAATTTTTTTGACATATATCATTTAAAAAATTGTGTTCTTTTAACAAAACATTATATTTAAATTATTATTCAAAAATAGAAAATAAAAATTTAAAAGTAACAAATATATTCAAGATGAGCAAAAAGTAAGTTTTAATGTTTAATATATTATATATAAAATTTTTAATAAAAAAATATAAATTTAATTTAATTTAATTTTAAAAATTTATAAAATAAACTTTCTCTTCCTGAAATGGTGGAGTTGAGTGAATCCTAATCAAGTTGGGGATAAATGTTTATTATTATCCGAAAAGTTTATGGGTGTTAATCTACAAAATTACCATATCATTAAATTTAAAACGACAAATTAATTGATTATATTATTATCTAAAAAAAGTTATAAATCAATTGAAAAAGTTACTACGCCATTAAATTTAAAAAGCAAATTAAATGGTAATATTATTATCCGGAAAAAAAAATTATGCGTTAACCGACAAATTACTTGGTTATATTATTATCGATAAAATGATACATTAACTAACAAAGTTATCACAACATTAAATTTATAATGACAAATTTATATTTTTATAGACAAATTAATTGGATAATTAATTTATAGTTTTTCATTAACAAATTAATTACATTATTGAATGATAAATTTACACTTTGATCAGCGCGTTAATTACATTATTAAACGATAAAGTTACACGTTCATCTAAAAATCATATTATTAAATTTCAAGTAGTTTTAGAAATAAATATGATTTTTAGATGAAAGTGTAACTTTATATTAGTATAAAAGTGATTTTACACTTGAAATTTAAAGTGTAACTTTATATTTAGTTCCGGTATCAAAATTTTTTTTATACTCCCTCCGTTCCGGAACTAAATATTCATTTGCTTTTTGCACGTAGTTTTAGAAATATTAGTATTATATTGAGATATAGTAGGAATAAAGTAGAAATGACTAAAATAACTTTATTAGTATGTATGATATAAAGGTAATGACATTTGTGTAATATATTGTAAGTTGTAAGAGTATTTGTAATGTTAGGTAAATAGTACAGTTACTAAAAGAGGAAAATGGATACTTTGTTATGGGACTGACTAAAATGGAAAAATGGATACGAGACGGAGGGAGTATATTATTATACAATAAGTTTATACTTTTATGCTACAAATTGATACATTATTAAATGAACAAATTTATATTTTAGTGACAAATCTTTTCTTTCATGCTTGTATTTTTATAATAGTTTGATATGATATTTTTAGATATAATATTATATTACCTCCGTCCGACTCTAATGCCAAATTTATTTTTTATGTGTTGATATTTGAATATTTATCATTATATCAAAACATAGTACAAATGAAGGGAAAATGAAAAAAATATTTTGACATTTGTATAAAAAATTATACAAATATAAAAATATTTTTAATGTTAAATATAATGACGCAGAAGGTAAATGTAATCATTAGTGCCGAACGGAATAAATACATTTTTATTTATAAAAAATGGGAGTATTATATCTAATAAAATAGGGATTTTTTTTTTTTTTTTTTTTTTTTATATATATAGCCTTAAAATTCAAATAAACAAAATATGAATAAACATATTCTCCTTTTACACAGGTTCCAAGCGATACACACACTCGGACGGTGTCTTGTCAGCAACATAAAAGTGAACAAGCTTATTTAATAAGTAAAGCTACTTATCGTAACTCCACTTACACTTACCCCTCTCAGAGTGTCTTTAAATAATTCTCCAATTCAGCTTCAAACAATTTACACATAATTATTGAGACAGTCGATCGATCAAGAGGAAGAAGAAACTGCAAATTTGTATCATTTGCTCAGTTCTTAGGAAATGGATAATCGCAAACCAATGAATGCTCCCGGGATGATCGCCATAATTCCTCCCTCCGAGATGCTGGAGATTCAACTATGGTTTATTGGGAGAGCCAAGATATTTTTGGCAAGACAACGACGGATAATATTGCTGCAACAGAACAAAGTATCGATTGAATCTTTGTATTCTTTTTGTTTGTTTATTTATCAGTAACAACTTTTAAGAGAGACAAATTGATTTCTCGGACATGATTCCAAATTTTGAAATGGATTATATTATTCCACCACTACATATTTTTTTTAACATCGCCACCCCTCTATCACTTATATCAAGTAACTGTTGTTTTTGTTTTATTAAATTAACTTATAAACATATTTTATTTTTTTTATTAATATATAATCATATAAATATAAATGTAAATGTAAATATAATAATTAATAAAAAAAATGAAGCAAATTAAATACATAAAATTTAATATAAAAAAAAACTTAATAAGAGAATAAGTAAATTAAATAAACAAAATATACATAAATAATTCAGCAAAATTAATCTAAAATTTCATTAGACTTTTTAAAATTTTGAAAATTAAATAAAATTATTTTAAAAAATCAAAATTTAAAAAAAAAAATTCATAATTTTAAGATTACAGAATTACAGAAATTGAAAAAAAATATAATCTATACTGAGCTCTTTTATATATATAACAAGTAATAATGAAATGAAGGTGTTCCATGATGGGTTAGTTGTTAGTTAACTTAGCCCATTTGTGCAATTAATTCTGCTTCTTCCAGGCTATAAACTAGTTGGCAATTTCAATTTTAATTTGAGTGATGTTGATTTTTTCTTCTAGATAAGCCTAGTCAAACATTATCCAATTCAATTATTCTAACAATAATTATTTTTAGATATTGATATATAAATAGTAATCAGGAGAAAATGACAAAAATAATTTTATTAGTATTATATGATATTTGTATAATATATTATAAATTGTATAAATATTTTTAATATTAGGTATACAGTACAATCAGTAAAAAAAGAATTAATATTTTAATATGAAACATACCAAAATAAAAAATAAATAATTTATTTAAAAAATGGAGGGAATATTATTTATTTAGATGTAAAAATATATCTTTTTTTATAGGCTTTAAAGTATTCATCTTGGTATTTTTAGAAAAGGTCCTCAAGAATCAGATTTTATTTTTGCTTTATTTCTTGTCTAAATGACAAAGTAAATTTTGTTTTTTGTTTTTTATTTTTTTTTTTGACAAATTAAACTGATTGCTTTATAATTAATTATTTAACATCATGATGGATAAAACTAAATTTAAAACAATTAAAAAATTAATTTAAAATTAAATAATTAAAATATTTCAACATCTTTTAAGTTCAAGTTGTGTATATAAGAAACAATTTAATTTTACAAAGGGAAATCAAAGATAATGTAGCAACAATAGTACATCATGTCAGGATTATCAGAAGGAGTGCTCTGTCTTGAATAATGACAAACAATCAAAGGCCAAACTCAAATGTACGCAAAATTAAAAAAAAAAAAAAATGACGAACGACCAATTGCAAACGGATCTCATAATTAAAAGACTTCCGTTAACGTCATAAAATAAAAAATAATCATAAATAAGAGATTGGTAAAGCAAGATCTCAACATTGAGAAACCAATCTCTCCAACATTTTTACTTTTTGTATTTTATACAATACATTTTAATAAATATATATTTGAAAAACGGTCTTACTTGATGAAGAGAATCAATTATATTGGGTTTGTTCATTTTGTATTTTAAATGACATAATTTTTTATAAATATTTTTAAAAAATATAATATATACGCACTTTAATACAATACATATAATACATGCAATTTATCAAG